ATATAAACAAAACAAAAAAAGTTTTATCAGTTTATAAAAATGGATGAATGAATCACACGTAACATTAACAATATAATACAGCCATAATCAACCAAATTCGACAACATTACCACAAAATGTGTGTTTAATTACCCACTTTATCTTAAAATAACAACAACAACAACAACAAAAACTAAATCTAGATCCATTATTCATTGTTGTCATTGTTGTCGTTGAATTTTGTTGTTGTTGTTGTTGATGATGATAATAGTGTTATTGTTTATTCTTTACACTTCAACATTTGAGCTATTTAGACAAACTTTTATTACAAAAAAAAATTTGCCTCAATTTTTGGCCACATCAAGAAGACAAAAGACAGAATATAATAAACATAAATTGAATGATGATGTAATAATATAAGAATAGAGTCTGTAATTTTATCGGTAGCAGCAACAACAACGAAAATTCCTTTTTGGTTTCTTTATAACTCCAGAGGAGGATATGCTTCTATATGCAAAACATATCAGCCATATGTGTGTGTGCGTGTTTGTGTAAATTTGCCATTTTTATTATTATTTTCTCTCTTTGTGTGTGTGTGTGTGTGTGTGTGTGTGTAAAATATTCTGAAATTTAGGATGGAAAAAAAAGATGGATTCGCTTCATAGAATTGAATATTGTTTTGGGTTGATGGTATATTATTATTATTTATACACACATCGGTTGTATACAAGATCGTAAAAAAAAAATTTATTTCTATTACAAGAAACATTTGCTTCAACCATTTTTATTCATCAAAATAGAATTGTCTCCAATATTTTGTATCTTCTATAGATTGTGTGTGTGTGTGTTTTTTTTATTCATGGCCACAATTATGTGAGTGTTTGTGTATACATACGTTGTATGAACAATAACAACAACAACAACAACAAAAAATGGAAATAAAATTTAGTCGTAATCATCATCTCTGGTATACAGAAAAAAAAACCTTTATGACCATTTAGATCTAGTGTCCAGTGTGTTAATTTTATTACATTCATCATTATAATAACTGAATTTAAGGTTAATAACAATAAGAATTTCAAATAGAATTTTTTATAAAACAAAAAATTTTTTTGATTGTTCAATGCATACATTGGTTCAGTCCACATCAATGAATGAACATCATAATCATTTAGTTAATTTTACTGATATTTCATCCTTTTGTTTCTATGATCATCAATCTATCATCATCATTATTAATCATTTACCTACGAATATATGCATAACAGTAACGGAAATTTTCATATCAAATATCATCATATAATTGAAATCCTAAAAAATCTAAAATCAACAAATCCAATGATACAAAAATGAAATTAAATATGGAAGCATGAAATGTTTCTTTCATATGATCTAGTAATAAAAATCCATTTATTGGTCAGCCAGCCTGACTAATTCGTTGTGATGACAAACTTGATGATGATGATGTGCATTCGTTTCAGATCATTTCTATCTATAAATTTTATTCGGTTATGATAATTATCGATAATAATCTAATCTAAATGCATGTTTCTGTGTGTGTGTGTTTATATTTGTTTTGATCCATGTCGAATTTTTCATCAAACATATCAAGAAATTTTGATTCAATGTCGCATGCATACATACATTCATATACAGTTCAGATTAGTTTTTTTTTGTCAACCCCAATCAATTCGTGTGTGTGTTTCATCCATCTTCGTATGCACATACATACACATTCATAAACAAACGATGAGTTTTACTTTTAAAGTTTCATTCGTATCTATTAAATTTCTTAATTACTTCAGGTTAATCAGTCATTCAGTCAACCAGTTATTCAATGATCACTGTGTGTGATCAGACATTCAATGAATCAAATTTTTTTCCCCTGTATAAACTTGATTTGTTTGTCGATTGATGATGTTTTGAGCTTTGTTTTGAAAACAAAATGTCCATTGAAAATTAACTTTATACTACACTACTGTTTTATATATTTATATATGATCACTAATCTTGTTAGCATCGATGTTGATGATGATGGTGACGATCCTGTTCAAATCATCAAGATAGCTTGCCATTACCGCCACAGGATAGCTTCTTTTTTTTCTACACATTGAAAATTATCCTGAAAAAAAACTGGACGTTGACTTGCATCGAGGCTGATGATCAGTGTATGGTCAATTTTTGGCAAGTTCTTGTTCACTTTAGGCAATGCAAATTTTTTTCCATACATCTTCCAAATAGAATGGAATCACATCGATCTTAGTAAAGGCGCTAGATATGTATGTAGTACATCTGTCATTCAATTCACTTACTTGTATATCAAAATATACAACAAACAAAAAAAACAAATCAAAAATTACATCAAAAACATACATACAAAATTTCTAATAAATTTTAATCTTTTTATTCAATCTGTGATGTGATGAATACCTACCACCCTGGATAAAAAATAAACAAGAGAAACCAATTATTCGAACTTGAAATTTTTGATGCAAAAAAAAAAATAATGATAATATGGCCACACACATAGGGTAACCATAATAAATTTTTCAATCATGATCATGATGATAGTAACCTGGTTGTAGTTATTCGCCTCTTTTGAAGATTTTTTCTTCTTTTTTTTGATCCAATTTCATACATTATCTCCATTCGATGTGTAGAGTTAAGGTATGTATAATGTCAACATCAACATGTTGTCGTCGATGGCGGCGACCACACAGACGATAGGTCACAGGAAAAAAATAAGATAAAAAAAAATCCAAGTTGCATCAAATCTCATATATCACACATACAATATGTGCGACATTCTTGTTTGTACAAGTTTGATGTTTGTCGATTTTTTTATTCAAACGAAATCGATTCATCGATAGACATTTGTGTGTGTGTGTGTGTTTACTTGTCTTTTGTATCATATTTTATCGATATTACGGCATGTTCTTGATCAACTGTACACAGACACACACACACACATGGAACAAATCGGTATCGTTCATTGATATTCCCAGGATTTTTTTTTAATATAAATTTAAAGCAAATTATTAAATTTAGCCATATTGTATTTATAATAAAAAAAACTTGCAACTTCATTCCATGTTGAAAAGGAAAGGAACAACAAATATGGCGGTGTGATTATTTTTCTTGTTTCTATTCTATATATCACACAGGTTCTTTATCGATTTTTGATTGGTGAAAAAAAACAAAAAAAAACTTATCGTTTTTTTTGTGATAATTGTATGGACAAAGTCTCGCTTATTGTTGATCATACAAATATCGTTAATGTTCGATTTATTCATGCTATATGTAATGATTCAATAGATATAAATATCCGATACATTTAACAAATTTGTTTGACTACATCCTCATCAAAAAACATCATAGAGTGTTAGATTGCATCAAACGAATTTTTTTTTCGGCTTTCTCACTTATCTTGAGGAATACAAAAGTCAAGTATATGCTTTATACATACTCATAATAGATTTTCGGGTGAAGGTACGTCAAGTGGTTGACATACAAAATATATATATCGATATAAAAAAATGCATTTGAAAATCATATTGAATTTCCCATATGATATGTTTGTCTATTTTTATTTGTAAGTGTTTGTATTGAAAAAGCCGACATTGCAGATTGAAAATTACATAACAAAGAAGCTTCCGAAACTTTGAAAACAAAATAGGACATACGGAGACATATGGAGATTTGTTTTTTGTTTTTTGTTTTTCATCGATTTGGATTTGATTCTCTCCAATGAAAATGGCCATACAAGACAAATGCACACACCAACACTCAGTTGGATTCCACCCATAAACAATCTAATGTTGAGGTGATCATCTGTTCTTTGTCATCATTTCAGCTTAAAATTTACGTTCTGTTGGAGATTGATGAAAATGATTTAAAAAGAAAAAATTTTCCCATTGTTTTGTCAAAAATGTTTTGAAGATTTGATTATCGGCACGCATATTGATTGTTAACGAATTGTTAACGTAACCGTATGAACGATACACAACATTTTTGAACAAAAACAAAAAATCATACAAAGACCATAATGAGAAATATTCATAATTAGTCAAATGAATGTTTTTCTTTTTTTTTGCCGAACGATTTGGTTTGAAACTCTGGAAAAAACAAACAACAAAAATGAATGAAAAATACGGCCCCGAAATCGTTCATTATTGCATTTAAACTGATAATGAAAAGGAATGTCACTCTAGGCAATAGATGATTTTCATTAATTAATTCATTCATTTATTAAAATTTTATCTGAATTTTTATTTACCTTCAACATCATTGTTGTTTTGTAAACCGCTGTAAGCAAATATTCAACCAACGTTGACGTCTGACCTTTGTGGTGATTATTATCATCAGCATCATCATCCATATTGACAACGATTATTTGATCAATCATAACAATTATTGATTGATCGTTGTTGTTTGAATGGATGAACGAATTTATGTTATCAAAGAGAACATAACCACCTCATAGATTAAACGGTGTGTAGATTATTATTTTATATTATTTATAACCATAGGGTCACCATGATTACTGAAATTCTGGACGTATGGTAACCCTAATTAATATGAATCAATAAGAGAGAACAAAAATGAGGATAAAACAAACCATTATCAAATGAAAATTTTTGTGAATTTTGGAAAAATTTTTTATGTTTAATTTTTTTTATTTTCAATAGATAGATGATGTAGTTGTTAAATGATATTATCAAGAAGTTATTATTATTCGAAAGAAGAAAGCTAGGTTGGTATGAATCAATGAGTAATATGTGTGTGTGTATATTTGTATTTTGGAATTTTTTTTTTTTTTGATTTTGACAAGATTCTCTTCTATAATAATAATGATGATGATAATAATAATAATAAGAAAGATAAATGGTCACTTTATATACAACAAATATCAAAATAACAAACAAACAGAAAAAAATTAACTAAATAGTATGCATATATTCACAACAGGATGAATTAGTATTTTGTTTGTTTGTTTGTTTGAGTATGTGTCTGTGTCTCTGTGTGTGTGTGTGTGTGTATGCCATGGATCATCGAAATGATTCATTAGAAATTTCGATTTTTTTTCAAATACAAATAACATTTTTTGCTTTCTTGCCTTTATTATACATACTTCGAAGGTTAATGCGACTGAAGATTTGTATAGTGACAGTTGAGATGAATTAGATTGAATTGATGCAAATGAATGGAGTAAATAAGAAAAAAAATTTCAGTAAGCTATCACTGAAGCAATTAATCATCTGTAAATATGTTTTTTCATGTTGTATGATGTTGTTGTTGTTATATACGATGATAAAATCATTTATTTTTATTTCAAATGTACATTAAGAAAATATAAAGATGGAAAAGACGTCAATAAAGAAAAGTAAAATCAAAATTCCAGTCATTTTGTTTGATCATGCATTTTTTTAAACAATTCTCATTTTTTTCTGATTGAAAGATGGTTTTGATGAATTTCTAGTATAATTTAGTCGTATTATAGCTTTAACGTAAATGTTTATTTTGCTCCTGGATTAGAGGATGCAGCAGCAGCGGCTGCAACTGCTGCTGCACTTCGTAATGCTACTAAATGTGATGGCAAATTATGAAGATTAAGTTGTCCGGCAGCATTTGATTGTGAAGAATTCGGACCAGTTTGACCGGAAGCGGCTGCTGCTGCTGCGGCTGCTGCTGCAGCATTTGCTGCCATCAATTGACTCATTAAAGCCGGTGGACAAGAATATAATGATGCTGGAAATGGTGATGGAGTCCCAGAACCAGAATGGCCAAAAGCTGCTGCTGGTGGATACCAACTTGGTGGTAATGCTGCTGCGGCAGCAGCAGCGGCAACTGCTGCTGCTGCATTAGCACCATTACCTGTGGCTGTATTTGAACCTGGTTTCAGATATGGAGCAGTCAAATAATCAAGACGAGCTGCACGATTGGCAGCGATTGGTGAGATCGGGCCAATACTGCCACCCGAAGCAGAAGATTTGGCTCCTGGTGATAGTGATGATGATGATGATGAATTATGATGATGATTATTATTGTTATTTGTATGATTTGATGATGAATGATGAAGACTATTAGGATTATTGGTAGTTGCCGTATCTACAATTGACCAGATTCGAGGTTTAATATCACCACCACCGTTTCCACTATCACTAGCAGCGGCTGCTGCTGCAGCAGCAGCAGCTAACTGATGATGTAAGGCTTGTAATCGACTATTTGCTCCTAAATGTGGATGAGAATGATGATGAAGATGAGACGGTATTCCTTTATGCTGGCTGAGTAAAACATCTGAATCGGATAATGAACCAACATCGGATAATGGTGAACATTCTCGTTTATTATTATGATGGTTATTATGATTTGTTTGATGATGATTATGATGGTGGATATTATTGTGCGGTTTTGATTCCGAATCATCTTCAATGTCAACAATATCACTATCATCTGTCAAGATGAAATGCAGAAAAGAAAAAACAAATTAAACAATATGAATCAACATGAATGAAAATAAATGTGTCTGTTGGATTAATTAATCATCAAATACAAAAAGCGACTGAGCGACCCGGAGAAATTTTTTTTTCGCACTCAATTTGAAGACAGGTCACCAGAGACCCAGAGAAAAAGAGAAAGAAAATGATACAGAAAGAAAATTTCTAAGAGATCGTGGTATGGATGCCATGACCATGTGATTGTGATGGAGACAAATGAATTTTCAAACACATGTACACACAGAACAGAAATATAAAAGAAGCTAATTTCATACGACAGACAGAATTCCAATTGGGAATATCCATATACATGTTGAATGATATGTCTAAATTGAAAAAAATGCCGACCATATATATATATGTTACAATATATTGAATCGCTAGAGCTTTGAATGAATAAAAAAAAAAAACAACAACAACAAATGTATTCTATGAATTAATGGTTGACAAAATGTCAATTCATTTTGGTTATTATTTATACCACTCAATTCGTTCGTTAACTTGTCATCGATATATCTTTCAAGTATTTTACAGCCTATTGGTTTAGTTTGCTATCAAATTTTTTATAACTTTTTTTTTCATCTCTCTTCATTAACACAACTATTAATCATCAACACCATCACAAACGAAAAGATCCAAATTTAGATGAAAAAAAATTGGAAGTAAATTCAATATTAATTTGAGTGCTCACACACATACACACACACACACACAAACATCCATTCATTTATTTATTTTGTCTTTTTATATACGAGCAAAAAAAAACAAATCAAAAAATCAAAAAGATTGGCTTGTATTCTATGACCAACCAAACAAGGCGTTAATCTCGCTGAATTCATTGATATCATAGACTGAAAAAAATCCGTACATTAATTACACGGATGAACAATTTTATTTCAACCATTTTCTTTCTTTTTTTTCGTTGAAACTGGTGACTTATGATCATTACCATCATTCAATCGAAAAAAGGTGATCATTTGATGTGAACTATTTATTCATATATCTGTGAGTGTAAATTTGATGAAACGATATTTCTCTTCATTCTAGATGCCATTATAATAATGATATGGCTAGGCCTACATAAATTTTACCACATAAGTTTCGATTCAAAAGTGTGTGTGTGTCTGTGTGTGGGCGTTCTGTGACATATGTTGGATACGAATTTGGATTCAAATCAAAGTCTAGTTTACAGTATAATCTACCATCAAATCTAATGTTTTTCTATTTTTATTTTGAATTTTTCTTGAAAGAAAAAAAAACCTAAAATCTGCTATATAGCATAAAAAAGGTGCCAAATTTGACACTGTAATCACATGATTATCATTATTATTATTGGTTCTGCTAACTTATTATTTCCGTTTATGTTTGTGTGGTTGTGGTGACGAGCACAAACATTTCCATCATTATAATAGTGGACCAATAATAGTGACGTATTATACATTAGTATAATAGTCAAAAAATTGTCGGTATTTTTTGGCCACTAATTTTATCACAGCCACATAGAACTTAAATACAAAAACATTATTCATTTATTCATAGTAATGATCGTAATTTTTTTTTCACGACGCAATGCTATAATCTCTTTTTCTCCAACCGGTAATGATCTTCAAATTATTACCATTGTCTATTTATAAATGTCTGTGTGTGTTTTTTTTTGTATTTATTCAAGTACATTTGCCATCTACTAAACCACTTACCATCTTTAACATCATCCGGATCATCATCATCATCATCACAACGGTTTCTTGGTGACCATGTCATTTTATTTTCTTTTTTTAGCCGTCGTCTTGCATTTGCAAACCATGTTGATACCTGTGTTAATGTCATTTTTGTTATAATAGCCAACATAATTTTTTCGCCTTTAGTTGGATAAGGATTTTTTCGATGTTCATTAAGCCATGCTTTCAATGTACTTGTCGTCTCTCTGGTTGCATTTTTTCGTCTTGCTCCATTGAGATCCATACCATATCTGTAATAAACAAGAAAAAAAATGAATGAATGAATGAATAAAAGAAGCATAAGAAAATAAAATAAACAAGTAAAAGATTTATAAACAAGTAAAGACATAATTAATAAAGATCGAAATTTGAGATTGACAACATATTTTTTTTCATATATCCATGTATTTACGAATATATCTAAATGTCTGACGTCGAATGGGATTAATTTCATATTTTTTTTTCTTAGAAGCATTTTTCCTTCACTGAATATATATCAATAGCCACACAGATCGACAAATTTCAAAATTATATAACCAAAAACAAAATATAATAATAATAATAAATGGATAAATGGACAGTCACATCGAAACATCACCATTAAAATGACAACAACAACAGAAAAAAAATTTATCATTCATTCGATTTGTTATGATCGCAATCATCATCATCATCAAAATGATGATGATGATGATGATATAAATAATCAAAATTATATTTCACCGTGACTTTTTTCTACTACTATATATATTATAATATATACACAAAATAGTGGGAGGTCATTTTCATTCTTCAACAAAACATTATTGAAAAAATAATCATTTTTTTGATCTGTTGGTTTTTCGCAATTTTTCAATTCATATGCAAAAACATGAATTTCTTGCTTACATTCATAGTATTCCTCAATTTGGTTTGGCCATGACATTGGCCAACAAATTGATATTTATCTATATGAAGATTATAAGAATTTTATTGATTTCTAAATCTCAACAAAAAATATTCAAAGAAGAGTATGAATTTTAAAAAATATCAAAAACAAATAGAAAATAAATGTGTGTGTGTGTGTGTGTACATCTTTTTCTGAATTTCATCTGAAACCAATCTTATGAGATTGGCTTTCCATTTTATTTTCTGGTAGTGTTAGAGTGAAAATTTATTGCCTCAATTTACACTATTTATATTACCAACAACACACAAACATATTGAAATTGAGATTGAAAAACGTTTTTTTTTTCACTTTTCACTGCTATTCAAAATATGCTTCTGAAAAAAAATTCGTCCAAAAAAAACATTTGTTAGATTATTAGAATTTATTAGCTTGCCTGAATGAAACTGGCTTTGTGTTATCAAAATCACAAGAAATGATCATTGAGCTCTGTGTATTTCATATATATGTAAATGGCCCATGTAAGCTTCTATCCAATTTTGTCGTTATTAAAGTTGTTGGATTATTTGCTATATCCGATGTATTTGTATGTATTGATGTCATTTATCGTCACACAATTCACTTTCTAACCAACCTACCCAACTTTTTGTGCTCTTTTTTTTCGTTAGTTTTAGAATGATAAAACGCAAACAAACAAACAAAAAAAAATTTATTTTCAATTTTATTTTAACGAAAAAAAATGACACAAAAAACAACTTTTAGCATAAAAACAACCGAATATTTATTGCAATGATGATGATGATGGCGATAATGTCTCAATTGAACTCTCTCTCTCACTCTAAAGCTCAATTATATGTTTTTGAATTTACCGAATACAAGAGATTCTTGTGTAAGGCATAAAAAAAGGAAAAAAATTCTAAATGATGATTTGTGCGTATGTATGGAAAAAACAAACTATAAAACTATGAATAGAGAGCAGGTTTCGATTCAATGAACATAACGGCAGTATACATGATTCTAGCAATGTTAAACTTACACGATATTGATAAAAAAATTTTTGAATAGATATTTTGAATCAAGAAAAAACTTATGTGCTGTATTTGATCTCTTTTTTTTCTTTTTTCTACATAAGAAAGAGAGAAAAATTGAGGGATACATAACACTTTAAAACACTTGTCGAATAGATGTATATATCGTATGTGTTCAAATTCAAACATTATGAACGGCTAATGGAACTAGTCTAATAAATTATAATCACTTCGATTACAAATATACAACAGTGTAAATATAATAAGAGAGAGAAAGCTTAACAAAATACAAGAGAATATCATCATGAATTTGATACCCCAATATCAATTGGTCCAATAGGACCTATTCATAATAATTATCATTTTTTTTTCATTTGTGAAAAAAAGTAAAACTTTCCAAATTCTCAGATTTCGCTATTTTTTGGTGTAAATGTGTGTATTTCATACCCCCTATCCAAAGAAAAAATGATAATACAGTTGCTTTGTAAAAAAAAGCCAAACTTATGAGCGATATAGATTGTAACCATAATATGATTATATCGCACTACAAACAACATGACAAAACATTATGATAACATTAAAACATCAAGAATTTGTATATTATGATTACTGTTTTTCTGTTTTTCAAAAATGTATTATGTGAATCCATAGAATCCATGATAATAATAACCATAAACAATAATCAATACCTGTTAGACAAATGTTTGATACATACAGACAGAAACAACCAACATTAAGCATAATAATTCTATCGTTGGAAATATTTTTTTTCGATCGATCATCTATGATCACAGAGCGAGAGAGAATTCCTGATAAATACAACAAATATACAATCAGATTTTGTAATGTGCTATGGAAACAAAACAAAACAAAAAAAAATTTTCTACAAGTTTTATCATCATAGTCATATATATATCGTTGACAAGAACGGCGGCGACGACAACGACCACACAACAAAAAAATTACTTTTTCTCATCATAATCTTATCTATAGATATATTTAGTGAAATTTTCATTATGCAAAAAAAATGTAAGATAACTATTGAAAAAATAGCAAAGAAAAATTTTTTTTTTTTTTTTTTGAATTAAACTAAACATTCATTTTATTCAGGAACAATGTTACAAATGAACTTTGCTATTATGATGATGATGATGATGATGATGATGAATTACATCTTGTTGTTATTTCAATGATTATGATGAGATATTCAAAGTGACAAGTGAAATAATCCATGACAAATAGAAAAAAAAATACAAAATGACAAAATTCTTTGCACACACACACACACACATGTCTGCCAATATATGTCCTGTACGTCTATCTAGTAATGTCAAAACCAATCTAAGACAACAACAACAACAACAACAACAACAACAAAAACAAAAACAACTAGGGCTAATTAACGCCGATATTCGACACTAACAATGCTGGCTTATGATGGCAGACTAACTTGTGGATCGTGGTTCAGGTTCATGGACAATAATTTCCTTACTTTAATCATTATTCATTTGATGTTCATATGATGGTTCAATGATTTTGCAGACTTGATGACATTAATCATTCGTCATACAATGTTGTTCAGCTGTCTATTTGAAATGTTGTTGTAAAATTATGTATGGAAACTTTGCTTTATTGATTGGGTAATAATTCGTCGTTTAATTTCCTTGTCTTTGAATGTTTAAATTGTGGATTTTTTTTCAAAAAAAAAAAAAAAAAAAAAAAATGAAAATTCAATGATGTCTATCTATTCATTCATTTATCAATAATATTCATTAGAACTTGATTGTCCTGATTATACGATAGTAACCTTATCTTTCTCTTGGATAATTACTCTTTTGATTTGAAGCAATGGGATAAGAAAAAAAATTTATTGTCCCTTTTTGTACCACACTTTTTGATTATGGTTAATAATTGCGATGTTTATTCAATACGATACGATCCATTCATTTTGAATGGATAAATAACTTGTTATTGTTGTTCAAAAGTCAATCATCATCATTTGAATTTTGATGGTTAATATGCTGTCATTGTGTGTTTATTGTCACACATAGTCATCATCATCATCATAATATATTTACATAACAAATAATCATTTTTTTGCAAAAGAAAAATATTTTGATTTTGATTATCATTCTACCTGATAATTATTGTTCATTGTAATCATCAATTGATAGTAATGAGTAATGAATGGTGGATTAGCATTTTAAACTCGTGTGTATATATATTAATCATTCGTTGATAATAATCACGGCAAACACACACACACACACGCACGCAAAGAGATTATTCTTAGGTTTTTTTCTTGTTGAAAAAAATTTCTAACATAATAATAATGACAATCATCATCATGTATGTGAATTACAATAATTATAAAGTACAACCATAACAAGATTGTCATTGTTGTTATTTATGAGACAAAATTTATATGCATCAATCACCCCCACCCCACCCCATGATTGGTACCACCCATTCTCTTATGTAATGATATCTGTTTAAATGAAATATTTATCTATATGGTGAACGATGAACTTCTGGATTTTTTTTCATCCTATTTTTTTTTTTAAATCTCAGCCACACACACACACACACTCTATACAAATAAACATCAACTTTCATTCTCTTTTTTTCGAACACACACACATACGCCCACACAAAGTTCAACATGGAAAAAAATAAAAATTAAAATGAAAAATTCGTATGCACTCATCATGATGATGATGATGTTGTTGTTGATGATGATGATGATGATCATCATCATCAGTTCATATGGCACCATCATCATCAAGAGTCAAGTATGTTATGTGTGTGTGTGTGTTATATAGTATTGAAGTGACATTTGTGCTAGGATATTTGGTGGTTGTCATCATCATCATCCACATCATCATAGGCTCTTCATCATCATCAATACAAATGAAAGACAAAAAAAAGAAGAAAAAAGTTTTGCATGAAAATTGAGTTTCGATTCTTGTGACTCTCTTTCACTCACTAAATTGAAGCAAACATCTGGCGCCTATTTCTCTCTTTCGTTTTGCCATCATCATCATTTGGTTATCACATCGACTTATGCAAATGACATGTATGTATTACAGTGTGTAGGAATAATGTTCAAGTCTTTTTTGGCAGGTTTTTTGGATGTTTGTATTTTTTTTTCTTTTCTCTTGTATAAAATAAAGACAAATATATATCTGGCTCCCACATATACACTTATTTTGAATAATTATCATCATCATCATCATCCGAATTGATAATTATTTCAAGAAAGAAAAAGAGATTCGAGTATATGTGTAATTCAAAAATATCTAGAGTAATGATCATGCACATCTTCATTTAGTGTTAATGTGCTATATTGGTAATTATTTAACTATAAACTTACCCGTTAGCGAATGGATATCCGGTCAAACCGGAATTATCATATGGATAATACATTGAATATGGTAGATTACGCCACATGTCTAGATTTTCTTTCAGATCGAATCCGGTTGCCTGTTGTTTTTATTAAGAGTGAAAAAAAAAATTTTAAAAAATTAGATCCATATGCAAACAAGAAAAATATATCATGATTATCTCTTGTCATGTGACATTTGTGAATTTTCCATCATTTCATCAAATCATTATAATCATCATCATTATGTTTTAATTGCAATCAAATTATTATTAATATAATAAGATTATCATCAATAAGGTAAAAAGATAATGTATTCAAGATAAACAACAGCAACAAACATCAATGATCATTATCACAATGTCATATCTATCATAAATATATGTGAAACATTTCCTTGTCTTAAATATTGAAAAATGATGGATTTTGGATTTAGGATTTACGTAAAACAAACAAACAAATAAACAAACAAACAAAAACAACGAATAATGATCATAATTACGATAAAACGTAGTTTTGTGTGCGTGTTTTTTTCTAAATTTCATTTCATTATAAGACAACATCAACAAATAAAATCTTTCATTATATGTGAATGATTTTGTACGAAAAAAAAACTTATTTCAATCTCATAAAAATGCTCTCTTCATCTAGGCGAATCGTTGTACATATGTCATATTTGTGTGTATTATTTTAATTTTTTCTTGTAATTTACTTAATTGTCATTACTAATTACTGGTTTTAAATGAAGATTGATCTTGGTAAAACTAAATGCAAAAAGATGGAAAATTTAAATTTGGTTGAAAACACCTGCTAGGCTAGGTATACGCACTAACGTATCTCCCAATCTGTTTGTATACATATGAATATGCAAATTTTGTACATACCGTCGGTGGTGGAAAAAACGATGCCGCTGATTGTAATTGTTCAGGTGAAAGCGGTAAAAATGGATCATTACCGGCTGAACCAGGTGGTGGTGGTACGACTGAACTAGGTGGTCCTGTTGCTGTTAATGATGGTGTCGTTGTTGTCGATGTAGTACTATTGGTGGTATTTGTCGTTGTTATTGTACCATTTGGTGCTATATCAGATCCTAGATTAATACCGCCACTACCTGGCGTTGATGACGATGATGATGATGATGAAGAGGATGACGATGAGGATGAACTATAGGCTGCTGCTGCAGCAGCTGCAGCTGCAGCCGCTGCTGGATTATACATTAAACCAGCCGATGCTGCTAAACGTTGATAATTTAAAAGATGTGCATCATATTGACATGAACAAATGGATTGGCCTGTAATTGGATCAGTGAGTATTGGGCGACCAGTTTCACAGCAAGCGGTCGCCGTTGTCGTTGTTGATGATGGAACTGGTGTTGAAACGGATGTATGTGGTGGCATTATAGATGAAGATGATGTGGATGATGATGGTGGTTGTGATTGTGTTGTCAATGTATTTATCGATGTTGTCGTTGTCGCACTAACAACCAAATCCGGTTGATTTGGTGAACTAGTACATTGTTGACTTTGAACCATTGATGATGATGAAGCTGATAATGGAGCTGTAGCGCTAATAGCAGATGTTGTCGACGAAGTAGGTGTCGATGCACTAGGCATGTTGAGCTGATAAATGAAAAAAAAAATGTAAAATTTCATCAGAAAAATTCATGGAATCATCAAACAGGAATTACAAATTAAACTTGAAGTTTAAGCTTAACTTAAATCAGTACCAATGCTACTGGAATATTTTTATTTTCTCACAATCTCTTTCGTTTTGTATCAGTTTGATGAAAACTTGAAATGAAAGCCCTCATCTTTATCATAATAAAATTGAATTGAATCAATGAACTATCAAGATGTTCATTCTAATTGACTGCGGTAGGTCAAAATTTATCGGTGGTTGGTTGATTCATCTTATTCCATCATCATCAAGACAAGTTTAAATGTGTAGGTGTCACCATACAAAAACTGCGGAATTTTTTTCCATTTGATTCAAGGAAAATGTCGGCATTTTGAAGTATACCTGGCCTGTTGGCTTGGTTGATAATAATGCTTCAACTAAGTCTTTGAATGAAACGTAGAAAAACTTTCGATTGCTTCTGTGTGTGTGTTTGCGTGTAAGAATGCAAAGAAGCTAAGAAGATTAGAAGTTTGTCGTCTTGTTACAAACAAACAAGCAAAGACAAACACACACACACAAAAACATGAATATATGATCAGTCAGCCATAGCAAAATATATCTAGTTTGTTGTTGATTTTTGAATTTAATTGACGACAACGAAAAAAACAACAACAACAACAACAACGGAATCATATTGAAAAAATCAAACTGAATCAAACATTAAAATCAATCAGATTATCATTTGTCGGCAATTTTTGTACCAAAAATATTTTGCAAACAAACGTTATTGATAATTGATTAAATTTTTTATGCTTTGACAAGCTTCAAATTTGCGTCTTTCACAATTATCATTCACATTTGGTGTTCATATGAATATGTCTTGTGGCCATATAAGTCGTAAACAATTGACAAACACCACCAATAAACCACCATCACAACAAACAAGCACAAAAAAAATCAAAAGGACATAACCCCTTTAGGCTAAATATCTTTTATTTTGACCAACCAACATTACATTACATATCAATTATCGTTAACAACTAAAAATTGAACAAATATGGTCGGCAATTATATATCGTTGAACTGATACTATAACCACCAACACATAAACAAAACCACAAACAAATGGTCATTGTAATAAGTGAAAAATAATTGAAACAATATCAACAAACAAATAAATACACATTGAAAAGAGATGAAAATTATCATCAGGAATCGTCATGCAATCACATTCACGACTAAATGTCTTACTATTCCCTACCGAGAAACAGCAAGAGTAAATTCTTTTCTTTTTTTTACAATATTCATAATCGCCGCCATTGAAGATTTTTTTCCTCATTATTCAACTTTTATTCTTTGTCTTTCTATATAAAAAAAAAAGATTTCATTCCTCTTCTTACCATGTAATGATAATGCAAGAAATGCATTGCTAATAAAAAAAAACACCGAACAACATGTAACACGTAAAACAACAACAACAACAACAACAACAGAAAAAAATATTCAAATTCATTCAAAACACAAATCATCTTGTACGAGTAAAAAAAGAAAAAAAACATGAATTAAAAACTATAGAAATTAATCACATAGCAAAATATTAACAATCAGCATAAAAACATCACATGTGGAAATTGATGACGACAATCATCATCATCGTCATCGTCATCATTGGTGCAAGAAAATTCCATTCAAGCACTGATTTTCTAATGTTTTATCATCATCCTCACATATATGCGCATTTCAATTTTCTATGATTTTCTAATTAGACAAATTTCTTTTCCCAGTACAAATCTTATATATGAGAAGAAATTCTTTCATACAAACAAATGTACAAACACACACACATATACATAGATTTGATTTGGATTTCAACTTATGAATGCCAAATTCTATATGAAAAATCCGAATTGTTTTTTTGAGTGTGTGTGTGTGTGTGTTTGTGTATACAAGTGCAAACACACTTGTATTATTTTATTTTTTTTTGTAACTACTAAATATTTCAAACATATCGACAAGATATATCTCAAACATATTATTTGTTCATGTATAAATAACCGTTTATTTACTCGAAAAATATTTATAAAATAACTGGATACAATATAATTCTCTTGATTGATATAATGTCCATGTGACATTTCTTTTATTATGATTATGAACGACATAGAGATAGATTTTTTTTGGTCGTTGTTTGAGTAATAACAGAACAACAACAACAAATAAATATATCTATGTTATCGTTGTTGTAGTGAATATGAACACCGCTGTATTTGGTGAATAGAAATATATCTCTTTTTTTTTAGAAAAAAAAAAAAATTCATATTCGAATAAATGTTGACAAACATTATCATTATTTGACCCTAATATTTACAATGGTAAAAAAGCATTTTCATACAAGTTTTTTTTTGCATTCTGAAATTGTATATTGTATATGTATGTATGGTTCTTGTTATGTTGACTATAGACCTGTCAAAAAAATTGTTATCACCATTGAGATGAAGAAAACTTTAAACTTATCAACAATATTGCCATTTCAAGGAGAAAAAATTTTTTTTTTTCATCAATCATTCATTCATTACACGTAATGATTCGATTGATTCAATGTTCTAGTTTTGTTGTATCCGAGTTATGTGAATCGAATTGAATAACATCGTAACTTTTGTTGCATACATACACACACACACACACAATAAAACTTTTTTTTTGGGGCCAAAATAATGAGATGGACAACATGATAGTAGTAGACAAACATGGGCATTTCTTATACGATCTATTTTAAATGATGATGATGATGAATTTATCTCTGATTTTTCTATGTTTTTGTTTGTTGTCAAATTGCTTGCCCCCATATTTGTGTTGAAAAAAAGTCTAGTTGTAAATTGTTTTATTGGTTGTTTGTTTGTTTGCTCGCTTGTTTTCGGCCAATTTTTTTTTATTATTCTTGTTCATCATCATCATCATAAGTAGCCAAAATATACATAGCCAAACCTGTGCCATTTGAAAAAAACATGTTACAATCAAGTCATCAAATGGCAAATTCAAACACAAATGGTTTGTGTTCAGGTCAATGGCGATGATGATGATGATGATGATGATCTTGGGCTATCTTGACTAGTTAACTTTATATGGTGCTATTTTGCAGAAAAAAAACAGCAATCAATTTAACGAACGAGGGTATTATGTTGAGCAATAAAAAAAAAAAAAAAAAAAAGAAAACAGATAGATATATCAAGTGGTACAACAACTATATGCATATAGATCAATAATGAATCATTCCGGATTTAATAAATTTGTGACCAACAAAAACTTTTTTTTTTTTTTTGGTACATCCAAAATACAAATTTATTACTTTATTACCGATTGAGCCAAAGGAAAGAAAGAGAGATTTAGTATACAATAATAATAATAACAACAAGTGAAAAAAAACACAATCACAATTGCATTAAATTATTATTATGATGATGATGATAGGGATAACATTTTCTCAATTGAAATCCAATTAAAAACGCATCCAATTTGTTGCGTAGTTTAAAACATATCATCATCATTGAAAAACAAAAAGATGTGTTTTGTGTATTTTTTCTTTCTCATTTCCATCAAATAAAAGCTACATGTTTATTTTATTTATTCATTTTACTTAATTTTCAAACAAAATTCAAGGCTTAATTTAGAATTTGTTTGAAAATGATATTAAAGAAAAAGAAAAATTCAATAGAATTGTCCATTATTGTTAACTTACCAATGATGCTGATTTTTTATTATTTTCGCCTTTTGTCTCTTTTGATCGATTTATATTTGATGATGATGAAGACTGTGAATCACAACCAATAGGCAATTGTCGTTTTATGTTCTTATTATTACTACTATTTTTATTTGATTTATTGTTATCTAATGATGGAACATATGATTCAGATGACCATGATGATTCAGATGATTCAGATGATGATGAGGAGGAGGAGGAGGAAGAAGATGATGAAGATCGGCGTTTAGATGATTTATTCAACGTAGCACTTTGTATGGTTATCTTTGAATTAGAATGATGATGATGATGATGATGATGACCAGATTGCTTTTGTTTTTGATGCTCGGTACATGACATGACTTGATTCAATCATTCAACAGAAAAAAAATCGAAATCTTTATTGTTTCTTTTTTTTAATCAAAACACCAAAATTTGAATTCAATACTAAGAAACGGGAATCTTGAAAACAATGGATATGTATGTCAGTAATGATAATAATGCTTTTTTTTTTAACTGATTACAATTATAATGTGACGACTTAATGATGATTTATTGAAAGAAATGTTGAAACGCCACAGTAATTATATTAGAGATAGAAAAACAACAAGTATGTTTTTTTTAATTAATCATAAATTATAAACCGGTGATAAGACCTGCAGGTAGGTGAAAAACAGTTTTTTTTGTGTAACACAAAAAAAAACTTGCACACACACAAACAAATATGTAAAAAAAATGATAATTTCAAACTAATACAACAAAACCATAACCACCCAATGATGATGATGATGATATGAATGATTACTAATTGTTCATTAATGGATTATTGAATTTATAGATAGAATAGGTATGCAACACCTGATAATAATGATGAAAGAAAGGAAAACAACAAAAAAAAATTAACAACGACCAATCAAAAGTGAGATCAATTATATTTATATCGAAATGAGATTTATCAATGATTTAGATCAATTTGAAATTAACTTGACATACACACACACACGAGTATACAATAACAAAAAAAGTGATGGAGATAATCCAGACCAGATTAATTGTATACAGGTTCAGATTTTGATATTATTGATGTCGACATAAAAAAAAACAAAAAAATAAATCGACATCATTGTGATGATGTTGACAATGATGTTTGTTATCTTCATTAGATAAATTTGTCTTTTTACTGTCTGTTTTTAATTGTTTGATTGATTGATTGATTTTCAATTAATCAATCAATTGATCATTCTATTAATAAATCGATCAATTGATGTCACTACTTTTTGATGAAGATAAAAATGATAAAGATGAAATAAGATTTTGATTCAATGTTCGATTGTAAGTGGCGGATATTAAAGTTTTTATAAAAAATTGAATTTGAAGAAAACAGTTAATATAGATTCAAATTATTGAAATATTTTAATTAGATAGATTTGATGAAGTGGACATCAGTTACAAGTTGCAAAACAGTGTGTATGTGTAATTAGATAGATATGATCAGATAGATAAACAAAGGAACATTTGAATGTTGTTGTTTTCAGAAGATCAACACAAATTTACATGATGATGATAGTATTTATTGCATAAGACAAGAGAACAAATAACCATTGAAACAAATTTGTTCGGTAAGTCTTCGTTTTTTTAATTTAGGTATAACACATGTAGCTGAATTGACAGTATGACTTACACAAATGATGATCATCTTCATACTGAATGAATTTGAAACGAACAAAACTTACAATCAAAAAAAAAAACTTGCAACTACAAGATATATACACATGTATATATGCATATACATTGGATTTGATGACGACACACAACATACAAACAACTACAAAATTTAAAACCATGGAACGAATTTGCTCTTGTCCTTCTTGTCTGTAATATCTCTGTATATCTCTTTCTATGTGTGTGTGTGTGTGTGGTAGTTAGTAGTTTTTTAGGTTGTCGTGTTGTGTTATGCTTCTTGTTGTTGTTGTTTTCGTTGTTCAAATTTTAGATGATGATGATGATGATGATAGGTGTGTTTTGCTACATGTAATACGCACATGTTCAACACAGCTCTTTGCTTATTTGTGTGGGTCTAACGGGAATACATGCCTGTATTTGTGTGTGTGTGACATGCATGTTCACAACATAAAATCCTCCTCTTTCGCTTTCTCTTCTTGTATATATGTATAATACACAATAAATACATTGGTAAGATACAAGATATACAAGAGCGCGAAATAATAAAAAAAAAAAAAAAAGAGAGAGAGAGAGGATGAAAAAATCCAACAAAAAGAGAGATATGGATTGTGGAAAAAAAGGCTGGACTTGTTTCGTTGTTTGGTTGTGTTGTTGTGGTGTTGTCGAACATAACTGCTACATCATGTATATGTGCGTATATTACATATATCGACTTGTTGTTGTTATGTTCTTGTATTCTACACACACATATATCCATGAAATAGCAAAATGAGCAGCAGCAACAACAGTAGTACCATTTTGTACCTACAACACAATCGACATATGCTCTTATGGTACATATGTAGTGTATATACGCTGATGTTTTTGTTGTTGTTGTTGCTGTTGTTGTTGTAGCAAACGTACGGTGGCCGAACGAAAACAACCGAATCATTTGTACCAAGATACGATACAAACATACATACATTGATTCCCGCCTGTTGTTGTTGTTGTATATTGTTTTCATAATGCTTGTTTTAAAAAATTAATGCTAGTAGCATAATAATGAAATAATAATAAAAAAAAACACGACAAAACATATGCTGCTACAAATCTGCCGCTACATATTCTTGGATCATTTTTTTTTTTTTTTTTGCAATTCACATACATCGAGAATGAGAGAGATACCCGTGTCATATAATATACAACACAACACAATGTTATTGTGTTTGTTCGACAACTGGCATTAACACACAACATGAACAAAACTTGTAGCAATCAGTCGTTACATACAATGGTACAATATACATGACATGGTTAGTATACATAGCTGATAGATAGAAAGATACTGCATCCCTCTCTTGTCGTTATCATCATCATCTTTTTACATACAAAGAGTTGTACTCATATTCATTCTATTGGTGAATATCTATTTGGCTCCACCCAATTGTGGTCATGATCGACCAATCAAATAGCATGATTATTACCAGCGACATCCTTGTTAGGCGTGTGTTGTGTTGTGTTGTATTTGCTTGTATTACAAAGATGTGAATCGCATGTTTTTTTTCCAATTCCTCTGACTATTTTGACATGTATGTTTGTAACTATGAACATCATCACATCATGTCATTGATGTTATTTTGTCCGCATCACTTTTTCTGTACTTTTTTTTCATATCTGTTAAATGTAGTTTTCTGGTATATTACAAATTAACAGGCGTGTTGTATATACCAATCTTGTAGTCGTATTCGACAATGCTGTTATCGAATAATTTTTTTTTCTTTAGAGTTAGCATAGTTCATACATCGCAATGTACGACCACCGACATTATTGCTTAACAATGCATAAGCCTAAATAAAAACTTTTGAAGATGGCGCCATAATAAATTTCCTAGCCAAATCGATTCTATCGATCGATCGATAATTCTTCATAACGATGCTATGATATTTAAATAAATTCAAATAAAGTATTCTAAATACTGAAAATAAAGAAAAAAACAACAATTTAAGAATTCCCAAATGTTATTGAAACAGATGCAGATACTTAAGACGAATTTTTTCTTGTTGAATTTTTCTCTTTATTCGATCAAAGGGCGTTCTTATCATCTTTGACATACATCGGTAGCAAAAAAAAAGTTGGTGTTAATTTTTAAAATTAACACTTGAAAATATCAAATTCAAGCTTTGTGCTGCCATCTATAGTTGATTACAGGCATATATGATTTTGAAGAAATTGAATTTGTACTTTTATCATGTATTAGGTTGTGATTGTGAACAACATTTTGATTTTTTTTAGAATAAATTCGGAAAAATTTTCAATAACAATTGACACTACCGTGCAGAGATTGAACCAATATGATCGCACACCTGTGCATGTTTCAAGTGTTTCAGATATAACAATTCCGACTGCTGCTACATGATGCAAGTAACAATAATGAAAAAAAAATGTCAAACACTCGTTACCTGTGGTTCTATTTTTCAAACATAAACACAAACACTGTTTTATTACATTTATTTTTTTTCACCATGACAATGACGAAGAAAAATTTGTTCAAATCAGTTGGTGGTGGTGATTCGTGGTTTTTGTGCGGCCTCACCCTGAATCTGTGAATTCATACATGGCTTACTTAATTTTTATTAAGGGCTGCGACATATAACAAATAAAAAAAAAGAATCATGAAAACGACAGCCGGAAAAAAACTTTGCCATAACAACAACAACTTAATTAAGTGTCATATCCAAGTGCCAAAAATGTTCAAATAATTTTCTAACCTCAAATCTAATTTATTCAAACACTGTATTCACCTACACTTGTGTGGTAAATATATAAAACAGATAAAGCGGTTAAATTGCTACAAAATGTGATGACATTTTTTTTTGAAATTCCAAAAATGTATGTCCATATGTGGGTGTAAATTATGATGATGATGATCTAAATCTTAAATCCTAATTCAATATTTAATTTGTACACTATGGCGACAATGATGATAATGACAAAGATGATGGCCATCAAGATTTATCAATCAAGCAAAAATATCAATCAAAGTCCATAATGGTAGTGTTGATATCTTTTCTTTTTTTCATTTTTCACGTAGTATGATTTGAATACGACAATCGTTCAAGAAATGAACAAAAAAAAACAAGTAATTTGATACATTTATTGATACACAAACAAAATGAATGCAAAAAAAAAGAAAAATTTCTGGATTTTTAGTTTGATCAAAAAATCAAGAGGGCAGAAAATGAAACATAATACTCGTAAAAATTATTTGTAAGTGATAAATCGATTAGATTTGTGATTTTTTTTAGTGTTGATGGTGATGATAATGTAGAAAATCAAAAAAAAAAAAAAAAATTGATTTGGATTTTGTCAAATGGGCAATTGTGACCAAATGGATCCAATTGCCATATAGATGATATGATTTTTGTCTTTTGATTGTCATCATTCGATTCATGTCATGTCATCATATAATGATATGTCGAGTCATAATAATAATAAAATTATCTGATTTTTTTTGTTGAACATTTTCTAAATCTTTATTTTGAGGTTTATTATATTGCCCAACACTTTGATTTTTTTTTTTTTTTTCATTCATAAAGTTTAGAATTTGCTTTTTTTTCCTATTCATTTAAACAAACGATAAGTTTATTTTTCTTGTTTGGGGTTACTTATTTTTGTTTATCATTCGTGAAAAAAAAAGTTCTTGAGAACAAAAATTCGTTTGAAATTTAAAACCAAACAGTTTTTTTCAAAAAAAAAAAAAAAAAATACACAACAAACAACAGGAGAAAAAAGTTAAAAGTTGTTGAAAGTCAAGTCTCTAGTCATTCGATCAATCAAATGTATCGATCCAATCTCTGTATATATGAGTGTGTGTATACACACACACACACCGATTTACACTTACAAAAACAACCATTTTATTTAATTCTTGGAAACAACAAATTTTTTTTCCGTTTGTATTAAATTTCGTATAATTAAAGCAAACTGGAAGTATCTTTTTGTTTCGTATTTAGTTCCTGGCAATTTATTTACATACAATCCAGGTACAAATATTACCGAAAAAAAAATATTTTCTATATTCACCACTTGATATGATAGTCATACAAAAATCCTGTTTCATCCATAATCCTAATATTAATCCCATGTTGATTTCGGGTTTTTGTCATTAAGAAAAAAAAACAATTTTAGATTAGTTTAGCTATTGGTTTTCAATTTTGTTTGTTTTACTCTGTAAATGTAATTGTTAGATCACGATTTCATATATATATCCAAAATAGGTTTTGTTTTGTTTTGTTGTAAAATTCATTTTGAACTGATTGGGAAAAAAATTTGTTTATCATTTGATAAAATCTATTGTCTGTTGATTTAAAATAATGATATATTTAAGTGAATATTAATCCTTCTCCAAAAGAATATATTGTGCATAAACATCCATAAACACTCAAAAATTATTATCATATAATCACGATAATATCGATTTGAATCCAAATAATGGTGATGGCGTCAAACAAACACACATACACAAACACTACAAATGTATCAAATTACATACATTCGATTCAATATGACTCTATGAATGTATTTATGATTTTTCAGTCAAGATATAGTTTTATAAATTATTTCACTATATAGTGATTTCTATTTGATTATATGGATGGCCATTGATTAGAAAAGATAAACAACAATTTTACAAATATGGACACAATATAAAAAAAATTGTAAACAAAAAAAAAATCAATATCTCAATCAATCAATTCATGATGATGATGATGATGAGGATAACGCACCATATTAATGGTAATTTGATGAAATTCAACATCTATTGCCGAAAAATTGCCGAAAATTGCTACATTAATACATTATACATTATACTTTTCAGTTTAAACTTTCGATATCCATAATAAAATATATAAATAAGAAAAAAAATGTTAACTTTTTTGTTGTGAATCGATTGACAGTTGTCGAAAAAAAAGAAAAGAAGAAAAAAAAACAAAGTTGTTTACAGCCTTTTTGGCACTTTTTTTCGTTTAAATGTATATATACGATCGATTTCAGTAACCTATTCAGTACAACAACGGAATTGAAATGAATGAATGTTGTTTTCCATTTATCTACCATCGGTTTTTCAAAGTGTCAATTGAACATAAATAAATACATGAATTTTTTTTTTTTTTTTTTTGGTTGACATTCCATTAAAGACAAGTTCATAAGATAATTCAGTTGTAACATAAAGTTGTCATCGTTTTTTTTTCTTGACAATGAAATAAACAAGCCTAAATTGTTTATTCAAAAAAAATTTAATTTCATTTCTTTCAATTTTAAATCATGTATATGAGAATGGGCGGTCTCACTGGTTACAAATGATTCGGATAAAAATTGATAAAAAATAAAACATAAAATCGATTAAATATACCACATGATGGTGATGGCCAGAGTTTGTATATGTTTAATAATGAAGCTAAAAAATAAGTTTAAATTGATTATTCAAAATGGATGGATATCAAATGACTTGATCATCATGATGATGATGATGATGATGAAATTGTTAAGATTTGCATCAAAATCATCAATCGAAATTTGTATATTTTGAACCTCATTTTTTATCCAAGAAGAAAAAGAAAAAAATGATTTTTAGGATTTTTCTCCATTCAAATGGATAATCTATCATCAATCAATTATTACACTTTGACTTGAATTTTTTTTTTATTTTTTTTATGTTTTGAATTTATATAAATAATGACTACACACTGATTCTTAGCATCGTCTTGATCGTCTTTAGCCTCTAGATTTATGATATCATGAAGCTGTAATTCAATCTATCATGTTTGTTGGTTTTTTTTGGTTAGCGTAGATTAATTTCTATCAACCAGATCGAATCTCGAAATTAAATTATTGAACATTATGAAAGAATTGCAAAGAGAGAGAGAAAGAGAAAGAAGAGAATAGAATAAAAGCATAGAATTTTCATTTTTATTATATCGAGAATTAAATCGAAAAAAACCATTTTTTTGTATCATTTACATTAGATTCAATTAAATTAATTATCTATTCACTGTTTTTTATAACTGAAATTCCAAATTCAAATCCATTTTTTTACAATCACTTTGCATCTCAAATGCATAGATCATTTTCTTCGCTCTTCATCTAAAAAGAATTTTTCTTGAAAAAGTGCTAAAATTAACACCAAAGTTTTATTTACTGACAAACAGACACTGAAAAATGTAGTGACATTTATTCCATTGAAATAAAACAAAAACAAAAAAATTTAAATCTTGGCTATGTCATGTTTCGAATCACAAGTGTCATACGGTCGATGGCAGTAAATTATGGGAAAAGTTTTCCAAAAAAAAGTTTGAGAACTTTTTTTTTAAATTTCCATTATCCAAAGGATGATAATTGAAATAGAAGAGAAAAAATTCAAATATGGGTTACGGTCATTGTCTCTGTCATTTTTTTTCTTTTGGTTTTCACTCATTCAAATTTTGTTGTTGTCGTTGTAATTCATGTCTTTGGGTTGTCGTTGTTGTTTTAGTAATTAATTAATAATATTTAAGCTGGAACCAGACTAACTACCAGTTTGATGTTGTATGCCATGATATTTGTTGATTTTTTTTTGTCCAGATTTCTATCTATCTCTCTATAGAATCTAAATTATTATCTGCATAAAGCATAGAATGACGAATGACCATAAATATATGGTATATATGCATTCAATTAGGAAATATATACAGTTTGACATTAGACACAAATGAATGAAACATAAGCAATCAGACTAAATGGCGCCAATAGGATCCGTTTCGGTCGTCGGTTGTCATCATCATCATCATCATCATCAACAACAACGGTTGGTTAGGTCGTTCATCATTGCCATATCAAATGACAACCACTATTATCGGATATATGACAATGACAATATGACAGACAGAACAAACCACATCATTGAGAATAAACATTTGAATTTTATCAAACCACCACAATCAATTTTGTTTTCTAAAGAATATATTTTTTATTTTATTATGGAGAATTACTGCCATCTATCGAAGTTCATTGCAAATAAAACATTCGTAAAATAAGACAAAGTACGATAGAAAATTTGACAATGAAAAAAAAATATCTAAATCGAAGCAAAATTTAGAATATATTACATAGAAAAAAATAATTAAAGACAATTTGTGAACGAGAATAAGAAAGAAAAACCAATAACAAAAATGGATTGATTGAAAATTTCAATTCATTTCAATATCTAATTCATTCGATACATTAGTGGTTTGATCATCAGTAAAATATCTATTTGTAAATAATTCGATCCTATCCATAGCTTCTTCCAACATATCATAATCAATGGCCAATACAAGTCGTACATAACCAGGATATTCGAAACAGGCACCTGGCAAACAAAATACCGATTCTTCAGCAACCAATGTTTCAACAAGATGTAAATCATTATGAAATGCTGGAAAATATTTCATTTCAATATGAACCATAATGTAGAATGCACCAGCAGGTTGTATTGGTGTCAATCCTTTCATCGTACGTAATCGATTGAATGCACGATCAGCATTACGCTATTAGAAAATGGGAAAATGTTTAAATTTTTTTTCAAATCAACAATAACTAGTAGATAATTACATGGACATTAGCGATGATTTCATCGAAAAATGATTTCGGGGTTTTAGTTAAAATCCGACCGATAGCCCCTTGTATCAGAGAATTTGGGCCGATAATTCTTTGTGCTAAAGAATTAAGTCCCGTACGAATCTATGAGAAAAAACATCAACAAAATAATAATATTAGAACATTGATTTTCTTTTTTGAAATTGATAGGCTTACATTTAGTCCAAATCTATCTTTTTTATCATTGATCGCAATCCATCCTAAACGCCATCCGGGTATAAGAAATTTTTTTGTTGTTCCACTACAATGAAGTACGGGCACATCATCTGTTAACGATGCTATTGCATGAAATTCATGGCCCGGAAATACTATGTTTTCATATATCTCATCGGCAATGATTGGAATGTGATGTCTTTCGGCTACATTCAGCACTTGTCGAATATGATTTTCAGGGAATACTGAACCACATGGATTAGAAGGATTATTATAGATAATTGCTGTTGTATGTTCATCGATTTTTGATTCTAAATCATCGATATCAATTTGCCAATTACGTTCAGGTATAAGATTATAATATTTAATCTGTACATCCATCAATGCCGATAATGTTTTATAAAGAGGAAAACCAGGTCTTGGTACTAACATATTGCAACCAGGTGAAGCCAATATGGCCATAGCCATGTCTAATGCATGGGAACAACCGGATGATAATACGATATCCTAGTGGATAAAAATAATATATTAGAAATTGAAATTCAATTGACGCATTTGTCAAAGAAAACAGTTGATTGATAGAAAATTATATAAAAATGCTTTAATGTAAACATTTTCATTCAATCAGTATTCAAAAATTTTGAACACACATCGAGCGTATGATCAAATCTAATTAATATGAGAATTTTAAACAAGAAAAAATGTTGAAATCCTTCATCAACAATGTGAATGTTCATTCATCCAAGTCATTTTGGTTGATTAAATTGAAAACATTCATCTTGTTGACCTTGATTTTAGAGAAAAGCCGAACAAAATTCTTTTGCTCGCTTGTAGTTTTTAAATTTGGGGAAATTTATACATTTTTCTTTCGTTCGTTTGAATTTCAATCACATGTACCTGTTGCTTGTTTTCTCTATCGCTCATTGATTGAATTTGATCATCATCATCATCATGAGATGAGAATGTGAAATTTGATAGAAACTGAATATATTGTTAATAATTGTTTTTAAAAATAGAAAGAAAGAAAGATAGATAGAGAGAGGGAGGAAGAGATAACTTTGAAATCTATTGCGTTAGTTAGGCATGAATTTTTTTTGCTACATTAATTGATAAGAGTTTTCCCGACCTTGGCTGCAATATCCATTCCATATGATGAACAATACTCAGCAACAGCTTTACGAGCATCTTCATGGCCAGATGCTGGCTGATAACCATTATACTTTGAGGAATTGACCGTAGTTAACATTGAGTCAATTATCTCGTCACATGGTTTGAAATTTCCGAACAATGTTGGATCGCCTATAAGTCATAGTTAAATAGAAACAAATAATGATCTTTAAAAAACACTAGCAAAAATTCTCATTTATTACCAATTGATAACGGGATGAATGGTTTCTCTCGATTAGGAGTTAAATTCATTGTTTCGACAATTTTTCGAATTGGATTGATTGTGGCTAATGCTCGAGGTGATGCTCGAATAGACCATTCTCTGGATTCAGTAATTGTCAAAGATTCATTCGATTCAATTAAATCATTATTATCATATTCAGTTGATGTTGGCTGTGGTGGCGTTGATGAAAAACCATTTGTCATTGAAAATGGAAGTGATGACGCCGTAGTTACTGTGGATTCCATTATGATCATAATTTTTCACAAGATGAAAAATTGTATCTTTATATGTCTTATTCAAAATTAAGAATCGACACGAGTTAAAATAAAAATAAGCAATGAATTAAGAGACAAGTTGAAATTCTGGAATTATTTACTTTTAACCAGATTAGATATTGGTCTTAAGACAATTAGAATTGTCATACAAATGAATGTTTTTTTTATTCAAAACATTCGATTCATTTGATGGATAGTAAAAGTGGTCTGATCATTTGTTCAGGGAAAATAAACTTTTGTAGTGTTTATTAATAAAAGATGAATTCAAAAAAATTCAGATTCTTCACTCAAGTTAGTTACATGATGATCATGTTCATTTATATCGGTGCATGCAATGAAAACGTCATGATTGAAATGAAGAGGATCAAAACCAAGAAGATGAAAACGAAAAAACGATAGAGGTGTCCATAATATATTAAAGATAATATCACAAAATATTTTCCATTTCGTATGGCACATAGTTGCCATCGTCAAGTATCATCCATCGTTGTCAAACCGGTCTGATTGAAGAAGAAGATTGAAGAGAAATTGAAGAAATGATCAATGATTATCAGAAAATAAAATTATTTTTTTATTTTGTATTTTTCCTCCAGAAACATGCATAATATTCTTGTTATTAACGAAAACAACCGCTGTACGCATTGTACTATTTATTTTCATATGAATAAATAAAATCGTTTGAGGCAATAATTATGTCGTAAGATATTTAACGTTAATCAATCGATGTAATAGTGGAAATCAATAATATTGAAGACAAAAAAAATGGTTAATTCATTGTCGATCTTTTGGTTCAACATATGGATATTCAATATAATCAAATAATTCTTCTTCACTTTTGATTTTAATAGGTAGACCTGGTACTAATGTTTGGCCAATACGACATAGTGTACGAGACGATAAAATGAATCCTTGATTTATGCAATGTAAACGTATCCGTTCCCAGAATTGTTCACTTCCAGTCAGATGGAATAGAACACCAACGTATTGATCTTTGGGAACAACATGTAAATTCATTAGTCTATATGGACTTGATTGTTCTAGATTAACAATACCAGCAAAATAACTACCATCAAGAGCAAGACTTTTCTTGATAATATGTTCAGCAAGCAGAGTTTTGCCAATAATTTTCATGCTTTTTTTCAATTTGCGTTCAGCATCAGAATCGGTAGATTTGGTTTTCATATCAATAATCAACACATCAATTTTATCACATTCTTCAATCCTTCTACGAAACTGACCACAAATTTCAATCTCTACATTTACGTTTGATAATTTTTTCAATGATTGCGAAATTAATTTTTCGAATTTTTTGATTTCTTTACGCGATATCTTTAAACGCAAATCATCATAATGTTCTAGACATATTTGTTGAGCTTCATTCAATTCAGCTATCGTTATATTATTCCTTAGATCACCAATCGTTTTGATGCCTTTGATTTTCAGATACATTACATCAATTTTAGTCATTCCATAGATTTTATCGAAGCTCTCTTCTATAAGGTCATCATCAGTAGAACTGGCTTCAATGTTGCTTTTGTTGTTATGGTGATTCGATGATGTATCTTTTTTGTCATCTTTTTTAATTTTTTTCGATTTTCTTTCAGATGTTGGTGATGTTTCTTGTTCAATCTCTTTTGATGAACCTTGAATATCTTCATCACAACCATTTTGAAGAAAATCATTTATTTTGGCTGCAATTTTTGGTCCGATACCTGATAATTTTTGAGCTTCAGCACCAGATTCTACTCGTTTACCATATGCTTCTAAAGCTTTAGCAGCTTTTCGATAGGCATGATATTTATAAATGATACCATTGACATCGCGTTCATGTTCGCCTAATTTGATCAACATATCACAAATATCCTTATTCGGATTGTCCGACATATTGTATTTATTCGTTTCTATATTAGGAGGAAAAAACGAATAAGGTTGATATGAAATAAATTTAATAAAAACAAATTTACCACATTATTTTTAAACCAAATTACCAAATTGGAATTTGTTTTTATCATATTCTATATTCTATAGAATTACAATTCTATATATATTGTATATATACAACACATGTTGAACCATTTTTGGTATCGATGCCATCTATTATTGAAAATGATAATTAACCAACAAATTAGGAGAGAAAAAGTTCATTTTTGAGATCCAGTTTGACAGGATTTTGCTTTGTGGATAAACCTGCAAAATGAAAATAAACTAAAAAGATTTTAAATAGCTATATTGCATAATTTATTAAATTATATAAATGAATATTTTAAAAAAATCTCAAGAATGTACCTGTCCAGTGGCAAAATTTGAAGAATCTAAACAAATTTTCCTTTTCAATTTTTGTCCAATAAAGACCAGTCGAAAAAATATTGAAATTCATAGGTGAGTTTTAGGTTATAGCTGCATTAGGCGCTGTAACGCTGCAGCTAACAATTGATACTGGCCAGGACCAGTTTCTGTGAGAGTGTGGAAAAAACGTTGAAAAAAAAATGAAAAACCAATGAAAGAATGTGGCCGTTTTAATATATTGGTCTCCAGAGTCTGTGTATGTGTACGTATGTTATGTGAAATGAGCAACAAGTTCAGCAAGCTTGAGCTCTGAGTTTGATGATCATTGTTCAAGAGTTTTGTCGTCATCATCATTTGATGATTATGATCCTTAATAATCCTGATGATGATGTATTTGTGTATATTTTTTTAGAAAAAAAACTAGGAAGCTGAGTGAAAAAAAGTTTGAATGAAATTAAAAGTCAAATCATTGCTAAATAATGCATTGATAATACAATTTTTGTTCCCGTTCTACTGATTTATTTTTTTTAACAACACATTTTTCATTGATTTATCAATGAATAAATTTTAATTGTGTCAAAATCATGAATTCGAATGACGATTCGATCAGACAACAACAACAACAACGAGATTTTATTATTGTTATTGTCAATTTATTTTCTATTTCTATATTGAGTTTCATATAAACATCCACATTTATTAAACGACCAATTTTGCCACATTATTACAAATTTGGATAAGAAGCAACGTGGAAAAAGTGATTGCAACTAGTTTGATTCAGTCACAAATCCATCAAATTATTGTAAGTGTGAATCATCCTATCCTTTATACTGTATTGTGGTCGTTTTTAATTGCCATCGATGATAATCACTATTAGAACCCATGGTATTATTAAAGCTGTTTTTGTTTGCTAATTAATGATTTGTCATTGCAATCGTTTTGTTATTGTTGTGTGATACCCAGAAAAATCTCAAATAGTGCTTAATCATTGACCTAATACAATATTATTACAATATTTACCTTTTATTATTGGAAACCAACAGCCAAAAATGGACATCGAATTTACATTGAACGATATACTTGGTTATTTTGAGCAAAAAGGTGGTAAAGTAATCTATACTGAATTGGTTACTCATTTCAAAGCTGCGTTGTCCAACCCGAATACATTAGGTATGCAATTAGAAAAAAATCTAGATTGATTAATATTTAAAAAAATTCTTAACTTTTTCCATAGCAAATGCACGAGTTATATTTAAAAACTATGTAAATACATTGGCCACAGTGATTAATGAAGACGTATGTGATATATTTTACATTATTATTAGAATAATTTACCACATATTTTTCAAATAAATAGGGAATGAAATACCTGATTTTACGACCAAAATATATGAAAACTTTGTCACGAGAAAATTTAGCACCAAATTCAATTTCATCATCATCATCAGTATCGTCGTCATCATCAAGCTCTCCACCGACATCGCCATTACAGCCAAAAGCTATTACCACATTGACAACTAATTATCGCCATTCAAACGAATATGGTACTAGTAACAATGGCAATGGCCTTAAACATTCAAACGATCTCAATCATTTAAATCAAAATGTTGATAATGTTTCTATGAGTTCATCGAATAATAGTAAACCAAATCGACCATCATCTTTGCTTATAATTGACGATTTAAATGATTTAAATCTTTCACCATCAGCGTGCAACAACAACAGTATTCAACAAAATGAAGATAAAACAAATGTCATCAACAATCCGCAACATATGTTGGCCAACAATTTTGTCTACAATGCTGACTTGAAACAGAAACAGCTGCCTTATTATTCAAATCACAATAGAACGGCAAGATATAGCTCGTTGATGAATAATGGTGCTAGCAATGGTAGCGTCAAAAATGTCCTTCCAACAATCAACGAAATTAATATTAATAATAATAATATTAATTCAACTAAAACGTCCTCTTCTATTGTTAACAATAATTGCAATGAAAATGATAATGATCCATTATTGTTAACGGCAACAGTAGCTGATGATTCACCTCCACCACGACCACCACCAAGAAAGAAAAATAGTTTCAGCCAACCAGCAATATCGCCATCATCAACATCGAATGTCCTGGTTGCATCCTCTGCTGGTTCAACATCCGCCTCTAATAATGATCCTATTTTACGTAATAATGCCCACCTTCATCACCATAATCATCGATTAAAACAATCCAATGACGTATGTTTAAAATGAATGAAATTTTTATTTTTTCAATTGTGAAATGATTTCATTATTATTTTTTACATTTAACTTTCAATTTGTTTAGGCTTTGATAGAAACAATTGAAACAGTGAATACGGTGAAAAAAGAGATCCAAGAATTATCTCGTACACCCGGACGTGTTAAAGAGCATGCACAAATATTGAATAAATTGGTACAGGATACAAAATTGCCCATGCCTACGACAACAACCAATTCCATATCACAAGTGGTGAATAATAAAATTCGTTATAATCCTAGCTCACAGCAATCGGACACCGATTCCGGTTCAGTACATCTAACCGATCCATTAAAGAAAAGATGGATCATCGCATCTTCAGACTGTGATTATCAGGAACTTGTTTCATTACTCAAACAAGATCCCGAATTATGTCGTTACTGTGATTGTATTATGGGTTATAGTGCTTTGCATTGGGCAGCCAAATTCAATAAACCTGAAATAATCAAATTGATGGCTGGCACTTTCAAAGCCGACCCAAATGTTAAATCATTCAGTGGCAGTACACCACTTCATATTGCAGCTCAATTTAAAAATGAAGACATCATGAAGATGCTTATTTATCATTATGGTTGGTATAATAATACTTTTTCATGTTCTAAATGTGTCTAATCATAAGTTGTTTTGCTTTCACTTAGATGCAAATCCAGATATTCGAGATAATTATGGTAAAAAAGCCCATCAATACTTGCCGAAAAAGACGAATGAATTCAATGTTCAGGGTCAATCATTGTCTAACAGACAGTTATCCGATGTTAGTAATAATTCACCGGTGATAATTTGTAACACTGGTGGTTCGGCTGCTAGCACAACAGCATTATCAGCAACAGAAAATCTAAAGAATAATCTCCGTAATAAAATTTCTCATCAATCGATGCTCGTACGAAATACATTACGAAACACCAAAGCATTCAAACGGCGGAAAAGTATGAATGAAAAATCTAAACAAAAACATCTACATAAGCAGCAGAATGCTGCTGCTGGCAATACACATTCCTAAAATTTGGTTCCTGTTTTAATTATATACAAAAATTTGTTAAGAATTTTAAAATCAATGTTAACATACATTTTTTATTATTAAATAAATTTCAAAAAATTTATAATTCGCTTTTAAATTTTTTCCGCACACATACATTGTATGTGAGTGTTGCCTTTGTTATGCATGCATGTGGCCGGCTGATTGAATACGTTGATTTTTTTTATTATTTATTGTGATTATATCGATCTTCGATGTTCGTTGTAATTCAATAATTTTGTTGATGATGGCATTCGGAAATTGGAAATTATTGTTTGTTATTTCTTTAGGTGTATTTCTACGTTTTTCATTCCGTTATAGTTCGTATTATGGCGAGATATCTAAACGTGTTGAAGTATCATCGCCAGTATCTGCTTGGGTTAGAGGTAAGATCAGATTTGTAAAACTTTAAATTTTATTAATTGAAAATCATTAATTTTTAGTGGTCGAAGGGGTTAAACTAAAAAAGTTGAACATTCAACCATACGATGGAAACACATTTCATGAGTCGCCAATATTTCTTCGTTTTTATCAATTCATAGTCAATTATTTAAATGAATTCCAAATTGTCATCTTTTTCATGCTAATCGATATGATGACAGCTTTCATTCTATCAAAGGTGTCAATAATACAGTTAAATTTGATGAAAACAAATGACCAAAATCGAATGAAAACACATCTGAAAGATAATGATGATAAGAAATTGTGTGAAAAGCTATTTATTAAACCTGGATCAATTTTTAACTGTGCCGAATGGATAATCTGGATATATGCCCTATCTCCCTATTCTATACTACCATGTGTTGCTCAGTCAACACAAGTATTGCAGAATTTTCTCATCTCGTTGGTTATGTTAACGGCTTCGAATGGTCAAAAATTTTTGTCATTTTCACTTCTCGCCTTGTCAGTGGTCAATACCTTTTATTCTCTCATATTCTTGCCACCAATCATTTTAATCTTGGAACATTCAACAAAAAATACCGACGATTCAAAGTCACAACAATCGACCATTCAAATGAAATCATTCATTTCATCCTTGTTCATTTTTCTAACCATATTGATTTCACTTTTATTGCTTTGTCTATGTATCGAAAATGGATCTTTTCAGTTCATTCATTCTACTTATGTTTTCATGTGGACCGTATCAGATTTGACGCCAAACATTGGTCTTTTCTGGTATTTTTTTGCCGAAATGTTTGATCATTTTCGAACGTTTTTCATATGGGTTTTTCAAATCAATTATTTTCTTTATCTGATACCATTGACATTGAAACTAAATGATAATCCATATTTTTTATTCATGATTACTTTGATGAATCATTCAATTTTCAAGCCATATCCTACTGTTTCCGATTTTGTTCTATACTTATGTATGCTGCCACAATGGAGCCATTTGTTTGAATGTAATCTACTTTAGTTATTTGTTCTATATTCATATTTTTTTAACTTTAATCTTTGTTTCTTCTTAAATAGACATGAAAAGCACATTGGTTGTTTCCGGTACTATAGCAACCACCAGTGTATTGGCTCCTATTCTTTGGTATCTTTGGATCGTATTAGGTACTGCAAATTCCAATTTTTACTTTGGTATAACACTTGCCTTCAATATTGGACAGGTATGTAAACAAAAAAAAAAATTTTATTCAAATTCTTAAAATACAATATTGAAATTTTATTAGATTTTCCTCATCACCGATCTGATATTCGCTTACATTAAGCGTGAATTTTATTTCAACAATGTTGATCTTTTTAAAATTTGTAAAAAGACTGGAAAATCTCCTCGTATTGAATTAAGCTATAATTAAACAATGTAAATCTCTATATATCGAGAACAGAAAATTTTTAAAGAATGTCAAAAATTGTTCATTAATGCCATCTGTTTACAGAAAAAGGTTTTAACCGAAACATTGTTTATGTACGGCATGCTTTGTGGGCACTCGAAAAAAATTTGCTTGTCATGACAGCATTATAAAGCAAAAATTTTTCATGTTGATTTTGTTTGAAATTTAATTTTGAAAATTTATCCAAATGGCTATAAATTCCAAATTCCAGTATAATGATTCTATTGAAAAGCAACATAGTCAACAACCTATCGCCACTGGTACATCAGTTTTGGGCCTCGTATTCGATAAAGGTGTTGTAATTGCAGCTGATCAATTGGTCAGTTATGGTTCATTGGCTCGATTTCGTAATGTTCAACGAGTAAATTGTGTAAATGATCGTACCATTCTTGGTTGCGGTGGTGATTATGCAGATTATCAATATATTGCAAAATTGATTGAACAAAAAGTTATTGATGAATCGTCTTATGAAGATGGACAACAAATTGGACCGAAAGCTCTTCACAATTGGGTTACACGAGTTCAATATAATAAACGTTCAAAATTCGATCCATTATGGTGTAGTTGGGTGATCGGCGGTATCGAGGATGATGGTAAACCATATCTTGGCTTGGCCGATCGGCTTGGCACAGCATATTGTTCTCCACATATTGCAACTGGTTTTGGAAACTATCTTGCCGTTCCATTAATGCGTCAAGAATATGAAGCAAAAAGTGGCCAATTTACTGAAGCCGAAGCTATTGAATTATTGAATAAATGTTTGCATACCCTCTATTATCGTGATGCACGATCATTGAATAAATATCAATTGGCAATTGTTACAGCAGATCGTGGTTCCCGTATCGAAGGTCCCTTTAATTTCGTTGGTGAATGGGAATTTGCTAAAACAGTCAGAGGATATGAATAATTTTTGTCAATCAATACTTTATTTTTTTTAAAAATAAAATGATAAATAAATTTAAACAATAATATTAAGAGATAATTAATTCAATGGGCGTGATGGAAATGAACGTATAATTTGTTTTTCTTCATCATCATAACCATTCAATGGCGAAATATTATCGATACATTTGATGGAAGCAGCCGGATTGAAAATGTTAGTCGAATTGTACCAGGGATGATTTAGATAGCTTATGTCAATATAACCAGTATTTGGGCTGTAGAAACGATTTATGTTTACAAATAATTCGTTCACATGTCGGTCAAGGCATTCCATGTCTTCATTGTTTTTACATACATCATCTTCCATACGAAGGGATCGTTGGGCGCTGATTGTTATATATTCAGATGATATGATCAAAGCTAGAATCATGGTGATGGTGAGAATTCGAGCCATAATTTTAGGATACAATAAAATATTTTTCGGCTTAAACCAATCGATTAAAAAACTTTTGAAAGAATGCAAAAATACGTTTTCTCTTAATGACTGATTTTCTGATGTTTTTCTTCAAACGAAAAAAAAACTTCATCGGTCAAACGATAGTTGGTCGATGTGATTTAAGTTTGAACATTATTACAAAAATTAAGATGAGTAGACCATTGTCTCCTATATAAATTGCTTCTAAATATGTTTGAAAATCACTGCAATCAAACTTTTTTTTGCAAATTCGATTATCATCATGATTTCACCAAAATTTTTTATATTTTTTCTTTTTGCTTGTTTGGCATATTCGTCGTCAGCACTCGATGATGGTTTTGGCAACACGACGGCCAACAAAGATGTTGACAACGATGGTGTGTTCAACAATAATGAAGTTATTGATGCATTCTTTGAAGCATTCAATAGTGATGATTCAGACAATGTCACTGAATCAAAAGCAATTAAGATGTCGATTGCTCAAAATTTATCGAGCAGTACTTTTCCAAGCCATTACATAGACAATATCGATTCTGATCAACAGGATATTAACGGTACAACCGCTGCTATCAGTCGGGAAGTTCCCAAAAACGAAACGAACAGCAAATTGGAATCTCTTGGCACAACTCAAATTTCTCCCTCGAAAAATGTTTCTCATATTGGTGAAGTTGTTACTTCATTACCAAATTATACAAATGAAACCACTTCGACAACTAAATCGACTACAACGGCGACAGATTTTCAATTCGATCAGGAAACAACGAATTTTTTTAATCGTTCGGGCACGATATCTTCCACAAAATCAACCAAGTCCTTCCCACCGCATACACCGCAGACTACCACCACCATAATGCCTTCAACTCATTCAACGACGACTACTTCGTCACCGAATAAAGCGAAAACAACAACAACAACTGTAAAGCCTGATACGGATGATGGTAATTTTGCCCGTACCAATTTTGGCAATATTTTTCTGATTACTATAATTTTATTTGTTCAAATTATTTATTTGAAATTCTAACATTATCAAATTTTCTAATTTATTGAATTTACATTTTTATCATGAAATAAATAAATAACTGTTACATGAATTTAATAATTCATTTATCCAGTGATCAAGAAAATGTACGTACATCTATTTATTTTCATTTTTAGTGCCATTGGCAAGATTTCCATTGCTGACGAGAATACATCATGCTTAGAGATGATTGAAAATGAATTCAATTTTGGTGAAGATTTTAGTGAAAATATTCAAAACCTTATCCTGGTCAATTTAAACGATGATCTCTCTTGTCAATCTTTTATTGAATATCTAAGTCTGAAATTACGAGAATCAACCCATTCCTATTGGAAAGAATTGGATGAACAAGGTCGACGTCGTATAGCATCTCATTTATTGCCTTTGCTTAAATATCAAATTCTAAATGGAACAAATGGACCAGTAAAATCTATTATTGAGGCTATCGGATTTGAAAATATTTTCGGTCCAAGAGAAATAAATTGTTCACAACAAATCAAACAAACATTTGATCTATCACATTCATTATCTGAAAATTTGATCGACCATCTCAATCTATCAAATCACAAAGAATGTCGTCAATTCATTAAAATATCCAAGAATTACTTGTTTGATCGGGTACAATTGATAAACAGGTCCGAATGGTTAGAACTATCAGATGATAACAAAAAATGGCTTTTTCAGTCATTATTTCCAATCACATACGTTGGATTTCAAAGATCCAGGAGCCAGATTCCGTTATCATTGAATATGCTGCTCAAAAATATGCAAAATCTAACACTTTTTGATGGCAAAATATCGTTGAATGAAGCTAATGGATCGTTATCAAACAAAACGATTGATAACTCGGAGCTACCAAACCAAAATTCATCAATGAATTTTGTTTATTTTTTGTTGAGCATAGTCTTCACCATAGGTTTATTCTATTCGATAAGATCTTTAGGTTTAATCTCTTACTTTGACAGATATTAAATTAAATTAAATTATGATTAATTTACAATGTTAAAAATTATCATAGAATGTTTCTTTTTCTTGCTGCCAAATATTTTGAATTGAATTGAACTGAACGTATATTATGACCGGCACTTGATGCATAAATTCATGCGATTCACGTGGTCTCAATATTCATATTCCGAGAATCGATTATTGTTAATGTTTGATATATTAATATATTTATTATTTATTATATTTCATAAGAGTATTTGAAAGTCATTGAAAGATGAAGAAGTCAATTAAACGTAAAATACCTGAAGATGAAATTGTCGAAACAAGTTCTGAAGAAGAAGAATACGAAGAAAGTGATGAAGAATATGAAACAGATGAAGAGGACGATGAAAGCGACGATGATGATGATGATGATGAGAATAATACAGATGAAGAATCTTTAGCTGGTGAAATTGAAGGCGTAAAAAATAATGTAAGTTGTTTTTAATAAGAACATAATTTTCAATTTTTTGATATGTACATAATTTATTTTTTCTAATCTAGATAACTCTTCAGGATATAAGCGATGATGATGGTGTTGAATTTTCTAGTACTGATGATGTTGATGACAATGAGGATTTATTTGCTAAAGTTACACCGGAAAACGGTGAAGAAGCTAATATTGCCTTGGAAAATAAGCCTGATGTGAGAAGTATTCAAAACGATACGGAACCAGTGTTTACTGGGGAAAATAAGGCCGTAATTAATGAATATGAATATGACTCTTCTGATGAAGAGGTATGTAAAATGAAATAATTCGTTGAACTCTATCCATTCTACATAAATTTATTATTCATAGGATGTTCTCAATACTATCGGAAACATTCCGTACGAATGGTATAAAGATTATGTTCACATTGGCTATGATGTTGATGGCCGTAAAATTATCAAACCTAAAAATGATGATCAAGTTCAAGAATTTTTAAATCAGATTGATGATCCAAATTATTGGCGTACTGTCAAAGATAATCTTGCTGGACAGAAAGTAGTTCTCAGCGATCAAGATGTCAATCTTGTCAAACGAATTCGAAATGCCAAATGTCCGGATCCGACATATAACCAATATGAATCGTTTATTGATTTTTTCACATATGAGAAAATGATTCATCCTGTTACAAATCGTCCGGAACCAAAAGCAGCTTTTATTCCGTCATTATCAGAGAAAAGATTGGTTAGCAAGTTAGTTTCAGCCATCAAAAAAGCACGATTAAAACCAAAACCGGTTATTAAGAAGCCTAAACCATTCGAATTCAATTATGATCTTTGGGAAAAAGATGGCGAAAAAAATCCACGATTAGATCGATATATTCCAGCACCTAAGCCCAAACCACCTGGCCACGAAGAATCTTATAATCCACCACCTGAATATTTGTTCACTGACGAAGAAGAAAAAGAATGGCTCGAACAAGATCCTGAAGATCGTAAAATTAATTTTATACCGCGTAGTTATAGTTCATTACGCAAAGTGCCTGCTTATCCTGATTTTATCAAAGAAAGATTTGAACGTTCACTAGATCTTTATCTATGTCCTCGTGTCCGAAAGAATCGTATTCGAGTCAATCCAGAAGATCTTATACCAGAATTACCAAAGCCATCGGATTTACAACCATTTCCATCCATACAATCAATGGTTTATAGTGGACATGAAGCAAATATTGTTTGCATTACTGTTGAACAATCGAGTCAATATATGGCTTCTGGTGATAAAGATGGTGTGGTTAAAATATGGGAAATACTAACTGGCCGATGTTTTAAGACGCTTAAATTTTCCGGACCTATTAGCAATCTTTCGTGGTCTCCAAATGACAGCAAATCAATTGTAGCCATTGTTGTAGAGAATATGGTTTATATTATAAATATTGGCTTAGGTCAACGGCAAATTGTACAACAAACAGAGCAATATTTTGAAAATTTAAATCCAGAAAATAATGACGATGATGGTCCGAGTGGTGAGGAAGAATCCAATATACCAAAAAGGAAAGAAAATCCTGTCTGCCATTGGAAACGTATTCATCAGGAAAATGATGCTGAAGATTGGCTTAAAGGCATTCGTTTGATAATTAAACACGATTTTGAGATCAAACAATTAGCATGGCATGCTGCAGGAGAATATATTTCTACTGTTATGCCACATGCTTCAAATAGATCAATTGTAATTCATCATCTTTCCAGAATGAAATCGCAGGTTCCATTTAAGAAAATTAAAGATATCATACAATATGTGAAGTTTCATCCAACCAAAGCATACTTTTTCGTTGCAACTAAACGAACTATTCGAATCTATGATCTGATCAAACAACAAATGACAAAGAAATTGTCAGCCAATTGTAATGAAATATCAAGCATGGCCATTCATCCTGGTGGTGATAATATTATCATTAGCAGTATGGATCCACGTGTTCAATGGTTCGATTTGGATCTTTCGGATAAACCATATAAAACGATGCGTTATCACAAAAAAGCTGTACGATGCGTCGATTTTCATCGTAAATATCCATTGTTTGCATCATCTTCGGATGATGGAACAGTTGTCGTTTGTCATGGAATGGTTTATAATGATCTTTTACAGAACGCTCTCATTGTTCCAGTAAAAGTATTAAAAGCTCAAAATGTTAAAAAACAAACAGAAATTATGCAATGTTTGTTCCATCCAAATCGGCCATGGCTGTTTGCCATCTCATCCAATACAGTACGTTTATTCACATGATGATGAACATTAATTCTTTGTGAAATTTTATCATGAGCAAATTAAAAATTAAAAAAAAATTGTAAATTATGGAAATTTTCAAATAATTAAAATCCATTCATTAATATCAAGTAAAAGATTGAGATTAAAATACAAATTATTAAATAATCAAAAGTTAGACAAAAAGAATACGAGATCCATCTTTGGTAACACTCCACATGTTGTTATTTTCGAATTCTTCAATGGCTTCTTCGATATCATCGTTTGAATATCCAAGAATGATACAACGTTCAATAGCATCGGCCATATTCACCACACGATCTTCAGCCATATTATGAATGATTTGATAGATTTTAGTGATTTTCGATACAGCAGGTTTATCCTCTTGATTTGGTTGAATAGAGGCTTTGGATGCGGCAATCAATCGCATAGCTTCACAAATATCGACGCGGTCAACGGTGTCAGCAAGTCGAATCCTTGCCTAATAAAAAAAAATAAAATCTATAAGAATTGCTAAATTGTTAGAAATTCATCACAAACCAAAGCAGTCGATAAACGTAATATTGCCAACAATGTTCGTGGGGAAGTGAAAGTCATATTCTGATTATTTCGAGCTTCATTTCGCATATTGATGTATGCAGCAACAATATCTTCTGTTAGATGCGGTGGTATCACTGGATTATGACGGCGTGCAACTTGGATAAAACGACGCATTACTTTGATTGACAATGGTTCAAATTGGAGCTTAGGCTGCGTACAATTCTGGTGTACGTAGGCAATATGCTGGGCCAATTTAAAATCATTATCTTTGTCCGGCTGATCCGTAATCAACCACAAAAGATCAAAACGAGACAATAAAGCTGCTGGAAGTTGAATATTATGTTCGATTGATTTTTTTGTATTATATCGCCCATATACTGGATTGGCAGCAGCCAAAATCGATACTCTAGCATTCAAGGTGGTCATAATACCAGCTTTGGCAATCGAAATTGTTTGCTGTTCCATCACTTCGTGTATGGCTGTACGATCTGCTTCAAGCATCTTATCGAATTCATCAATACAACAGATGCCTTGATCGGCTAATACTAAAGCACCACCTTCAAGAACAAACTCTCCAGTAATCGAATCTTTCATAACGGCTGCAGTCAAACCAACACCCGATGAACCTCGGCCATTTGTATAGACACTTCGTGTAGCAACTCGATCTTAATTATTATTAGAAATAAAATTAATCAATAAAGTTTTTTAAAAAAAGAAAATCCTTACCGATAAAGCCAAGCAATTGAGATTTAGCCACACCAGGATCGCCCATTAAACAAATGTTGATAGCTCCACGAATTTTCATACCTGCAGTGTTCTGATCCACACCACCAACTAATAATAAAAGTAAAGCTTTTTTAAGATCTAAATGGCCGTAAATTTCTGGAGCGATACTGCTTGCCAATCGATTAATATTAATATTTTCATTTTCAATCATTCTGATAAATTCTTCATCAGTCATATCGTATTCGTCTTCTTCCAACGTTTTATTCGTAACTGAAATACAATGCGTTTCAATGTATGTATCAGCAAGTAAACCAGCGACCATTTGTCGGAATCCAGTTCGATTTATTGGCAAAAATATACCAGATACATTGACATGATCACCGGGTGCACATTGTCGGGTCATTTCACCACGACAAATAGCACTGATACTACGCGGAATATTACCTACGGGAACATCGCGGCTATGTTCTTGCACGCGTATCTCCTGAAATTTCATAAATTTCGAACCACGTGATTGTAGACTTAATCGGCCCGATGTTTTATTAGCTTTACATTCTTGGCTAGTACAACGTTCCAATGGCATGAATGATTGTGAACCGATCGGTTGATAAGTTTCAGAACCACATGAATCGCAAGTGTAGGTGGCAACCACCATCAATGGTTTCACTTCGGCACATCGAGTAACCACACCAGTTATTGAAACCAATTTACCAATATCTTTGCCACGTACCTGACGAACAGGAATCGGTTTTTGTGTAGTTGGCGGTTTAAAATAAAGTTCATATCGACGCATCAATTCAGGTGGATATTTAGTAGCAATATTCTGTGCGCTTAAATCACCTTGATTTTCTTCTTGACGATTACGCATCTCGGCCAGAATACGATGTTCAATGAATACGTCCAACTTATCTTTAGAAACATTTTCTCTCACACGAAAATCTGGCAAAATTTCATCGACAACTTGACAGAATAGTTGAACATAGCGTTTCGTATTGTTAACGATTGCTGCACATAAATCTGGATCAACTTTTTCGACATCATCCAAATCGATTGACAATATGATTTCGTCTCGGTCGGCAATCTTGATTAATTTTTCCGTATAATTCGGACCGAGAATCACTTTACGAATAATTTCTTTATCTTTTTCATAATCTCGAATGAACATTTTTAGAGAAAAATTTATTAAAAGGTTATGAATAAATGATGGAATTTAAAATTTAAAAGTACACAACAGTGGACATGTGTATGCTTTTTCTTTGTTTGAATGGATTGAAATTTTTTGGCGCCAACAACAATGCAATGAGCGGGCAACAATGAGTATCATTCATAAACGATAGTATGTGTTGATTTTTTTTTGTTTTGTTTTTTTTTTACCCTTGAATTTCCTTGAAAATAAATCATTTTCAGTTAACTAATTCACTTAACAACCAGTTGATGGTAAAATTGTCAAAATACTGAGAATGTTTTGTAAATTAAAAGCCGTACTTATTGATCTAAGCGGTACGATTCATATCGAATCAAATGAAATTGTCGGATCTATTGATGCATTGACAAGGTAAATTGGAATTCAAATTTTAATCATTATGGATCATTTTTAATGTTTCGATTACATAGATTACGTAGATCTGGTCTTCGTTACAAGTTTGTAACAAATACGACGAAAGAGAGTCAAAATTTTCTCTACGAACGATTAAAATCCATTGGATTTGATATTGAAAAAAATGAAATATTCACATCATTAGTGGCAGCTAGAGATTTTATCCGAAATGAAAAACTTTGGCCACATTTATTGCTTGAAGAGTGTGCAATGGAAGATTTTCAGGATGTAACCAAAGAATTAGTTGATAGTCATAAAGGCGAAGCAGTCGTTGTTGGATTGGCACCATCAAAATTCAATTATGATACGTTAAATGATTCATTTGATAAATTATTAAACGGAGCTCGATTAGTGGCCATACATCAAGGTCGATATTATAAAACAACAAAAGGTTTAGCACTTGGTCCTGGTCCTTTCGTGAAAGCTCTAGCTTATGGGGCTGACATTAAACCTGAAGATGTTAAAGTAGTAGGTAAACCTGATCGTAATTTTTTCCTTTCGGCTCTCCAATCGTTAAATGCAAATATTCAACCTGATGAAGCTGTTATGATCGGTGATGTAAGTGTTATCATCAGATAGCCAATTTAGAAAATCAAATTGATTGACTAACACGCTTGATATTGAATATATTTAACCATAAAGGATGTTCGTGATGATATTGCCGGAGCCATGGCATTAGGTATGCAAGGTATACTTGTTCGAACCGGAAAATATCGGCCAGACGATGAAAATAAAATCAATCCATCACCAACATTAACTGTTGCAACATTTGCCGAAGCAATTGAAACTATTTTAAGTGATCTTTGTAATTAAAATCTGCATTATTGTATAAATTTTATTGTTAAAACAAACAGAAAAATTCTAATCAAACAAAAAATTCAAAAATCATCAAATAATAAAATTTCGATGATATTTATTGATATGCACGTATTGTCTTGTTGAAGGATAAAAGTTTTCGTTTGTTAAAAAAATCAATAATTTGTTTTTATATTTCGCCATATATGATCTGCATCTTTTTTAGCCACATATCCAAATGGGGTGTGTTCTAGCTCAAACTTTAATTCTCTCCTTGAATCGATCGATATATTATGATGATTGTTGATGATACGATATAGACATGGACAATATATCTTGTAAATGATGGTGAATTTGATGAATGATGATTGAATGCGGAACAAACAAATGAAAAACAAATCCATAGGTGATCATTTCCATTTCGATTAAAGCGAATCATAGACAAAACAAACGAATGATCCGGTTATTGCATAATAAATGGCATTCACAATGGCTGACCATGTCAATCGATCAATTATGATTAAAACAACATTTGGATCACCATTTAGAATATGGCTGCATTCTTTTCTTTACTTCTTTGTTGCTAAAATTATTCATTTTATTTTTTCTTGTTTAATCTGTGACTAGAACCGAATAAAATTCATTATTAATGGATGAAAGCAAAAATTGTGATATCTTGATATCTTATGGCAGTGCCAATATTAGATTCAATATGTAATGTAGATGTCGGTGATGGTCATTGTGTATCCAGAGATTTGTCTCACTAATTGTATATGGTTTGGCCTATTTTGGCAAGTTTCAAGTAGGATCATTGTTCCATTGTTTGTGACATTGTTTCTCACCTACAGAAAATATCGAAAAACAAAAAACAAGGATTGCATTTTCTTCACTTCACTTATAAATGTTGAATAGCTTTTCAAGATGTTTCGAGCAGGTGGAACTCTTAACTTTTGTACAAAATCAAACCAACATAATCAAAGACGGTTGGAAAGTTCATTTTGAACTGGATCAAATACCAAATTCAAAAATGGAAAAACATTTTAAATCAAAGTCCATCTGGATGTCTAATAATAATCATTTTCACATTGATTACAGCAATGATTATGATGATCATTGGTCTTGTTGGAAACAATTTGTTGAAAACAAATGAAGGTTTCATGCATTCTGAACATTATTATGCAATAATTATGTTAACACTGAATCAATGTTAACATCACAACAGGAACACATTGTGGAGATGAATGCAGACATTTGGCCAATACATTAGGAAATAACATAACATCATAAATGTTAAATGTATGTGCATAAACAAAACAATCATGCTATATTGGAAATTGTATTTGAGATTGGTTCAACTTAAACTGTTTATATCGATCCAAATTTCTTCATATGCGTGTATGTGAATGTTCAATTTACATCCGACTATTCCTCGTACTAGGTTTTGTTATGTAATCAAAATCGAATCATGAAATAATTTCATTATATTACTATCATCATCATTATTGTTATGCTATTTCAAGTATAGTTAGATTGTTGTTGTTGTTCCATTCGATTACGATTACCATTCATCTCATCATCAATGAAAAAAAGTGGACATTACGACGTCAACTACGACAATCAATGACAGCCATGGGCAAATTTAATTAGTACATTGTACACAAAAATAAATAGAATCGATTTGGATCGATTTTTCGATCGAAATTATATATCGAGATGGTAGTGTAGCAAAGGAAGTCGAAGGGCTGGTCAAATCTTATATTCATAATAAAATGATTGAGATCAAAAATAATTTCTCCTTATATTGTTATACAAACATTGAATTATCGAATAATTTTCAATCAAAAAAAAAAACTAATCATATAGTTTATCAGAAAATATTGATTCAAATATTGATATTATTATATTTTCACTTATTGGGAATGAAAATTAATGTTTTACCATAATGGTAAAAGTATTATATATTTAAAATTCAATGATGATGATAAATAATTTTTTATGATATAAAAATAAAACAATGTATCTGATCTATTTGCACGTTTGTTTACAATATTGAAAATTACAATGTTCAAATTTATGATTCAATTTACGTAATTTTTATTTTCATTACGTATTTCTCTTTTGATTATTATTGAAACGTATTAAGTTTTCATTTTCAGTCTTCTCTTTTTTATATATCGAATAAGCAAACAAATAAAAATCCTTAAGGTTATCGTCATGTTTACTATAACAATAAATTATAACCAACTGTTGAATAAAATGTTTGTCGCCATATATATCATTGTAGATTTACATTGTATACAACACTATAATTTCATATTATATTATAATAATGACAAGAATCAATTTCTAATTTTAGACAAGTGATGAAAAAAAATGGATTCTGTCCCTGAGAATTAATTTCTGCGTGTGTGCGTGTGTCTGTTCGAAAATTAAAATGAAACATTCTTTTAAAAAAATGAAATCGTAGTGGAACAATATGAAAATTAAGATACATTGAATGAATAAACATATATTATTTATTTGAACTATGAAACACTTGATAAGGAAACCAATTTTTTTTTCTTCATCATCGAATTCAAATCAATAATTAAGGAAAAGTTGAAAAAAAATGTTAAGTTTCATCATTCACCGGAATAATCTTTTCGTTTTTCACGTTTGTTCAATGCCATTTTGCCATATATTTTAGAAAGACCAATTCATTTCATGTCATTATCCTTACCATTAATAATAACCATTGATGATGATGATCGTCTAGTCAACAACAAAAAAAAAGAAAAAGAAAAATTAATTTAAATCAGATTTTGTTTTATCCAAGGTTAATCAATCAATTTTTTACTTTCATACCACATCCAGATATTGGATTTCGTGATCAAAAGATTCCAACACAGAAAACAGAAAAAATAATTTCAATTTCCGAATTTCATAATATTCAACACCTATATAAACTTTAGTGTTAGACATGAGATTATATGTGATTGACTTTTGTTTTATTTTGAATTGATTGAGTATGGTGATGAAATGTTTTTGGAACCATCATCACAATATTAGAAAAATGAATTTAATCGAAATTAAACACTCAGCAATGGATGATATTGAATTACATTTGAATAAAAATTGAATTTCATCTGCATTTTTTTGTTTGTTATTATTATTATTATTATTGTGGATCCGATTACCGTGTGTAGATAATTGCAGTACATTACTGGACTATAGTATATTATTATTTTATCTGTTCTCCAAAATACATTCATCTTTTTCCATCATATAAAATGTCAATGTCAAACATTGGATTAATTAATTTCGTACACATAAAACCACCAAAACATCCTACAAACAATAATGATAATGAGGACGCCTATTTTAGGATGCTACAATGGAAATTATTGTGATGATGATGACGCACCAAAAAAAGTAACACAATACAATTTGCATATAATGTTCGATGCAATGTTTATAGACATTCATTTTAATCATGTTTATGTAGGTACAAAAAAAAACAAGTTAGTTGACCTTAGTGGATATCATTTTTTAATATTTTTTTTCTTTTCACTACTTTTTTTTAAACACAATCAAATGTATATTTTTCTAAATAATAAAATTACTCATCATCATTTCATCGCCTGTAATGGATGAAAGTGTTTGATTTAAGTCAAATAGAACGTTGTTGTTGCCATCATTTGAAAGATAAATTCGTATTTGTATACAATACTCTTAACGAATACGAATATAGTACGAATGAGTGAAAAAAAATTGAATGATAAATCGATTTTTTTTCTCGTTCATAAGTATGTTTCTTACATTCTATACTAACAACAACAACAAAAAGTTGTGAACATTTTGGTGGTGTTATCTTGGTTCTTTTCGTTTTTTTTTTTTTTTGAATTTTTTTCAAGTCTTATATAATGATTCTGACAGTGATATCATCGTTAAACTCAATAGAGAAAAAAAAATTATCTGCTCTTTTCTTTTTCTATTTCAAGAGTCATTGGCCGTTCAATATCGAATCTTGATCATACTGTGAAAATCGCAATGGTCGACGATCGGTTTGTGAAACTTTAGAAAATGAAAATCTTTTCTTCGTCTCCTCCTTTTAACCATGGTTATTGTCAATGAATTGTCAATTGACAATGAATGAATGAATGTATGTATGGATGAAAGCGATGAAAAAAAGATCAACTATTCTTTTCGATTTTGGTTATTTGAATTGCTCTTATCATCATATATGATGATGATGATGATAATAAAATGATGATGATGTGGAAAAAAATATATAATGAGATGCACGTGTGTGTGTGCTTCTTCTGTCAAACGCAGATTCACATCCATTGGATCAATTTTCAAATGGAATAAATATTAAAAAAAAAAATGACCGACACAATGACAATGAACATTTGTGTATGTGAAGACATGATGATGGTCCATGTTTGGTTGGCCGGTAATAACAAACAAAGCATTGATGTATGGATATTCAATGAATGTATGATGTATTTTGGCATTTTTTTCTCATTTTTTATGATGTTTATTGTTGCTATACACTACTCACATATAAAAGTTATATATACACTGACACACAAAGAAAAAGATTTTAATTCAATGAATTTTTGCGCTCTGTGTGTTTAGCATTTTTTTCCAGTATTTTAAATTTACAATTTTTCAATCTTATTCTGTTGTTTCTTCTCACAATTAATTCAGATGTGTAATGAAAAAAAAATATTGACAGAATTCAAAAATAACTGATGATCTTGTAATCATCATCAAAAAAAATTTGTCGAATGTAATATGAAAGATATCAGCAACTTGTCATAAAATTCGATTGTCTGTATCGATTATTCTACTAATACAATTTAAATCATGATCATATCAAATGATGATAATGTTGGTTATGATGACAGACCAATTTCTTTTGAGGTTTTATTATTCGTATTATTTTTTATATAAGAATTGACAGGATGAATGTTTTCATTTTATTTTTGTTTGAGTAATTTTCATCTCCCCACTTGTTCAAATGAACAATTGGAATGACGTACGCGTGCCACCATCATTTCAATATAAACTTTAAACATGAACTTATCATCATCATTATTGAACTAATTGGATTCAAAAAGACGTAATCTTAACTATAGACCGGAGATTGTCAGACCAAAAAAAATGACATATACTAACATTGTGTATACACTGTGCAATCATATCATCATCGCTTCAATGATTACATTCATTTTGATTTCGAATTTGTTGTTTGTTATCAAGATCGTATCAAGAAAAAACGACAACTATGGCGTTCCAAATGGATCGATCGATCAGATTCAAAAGTGGATCGATATTTCGAATGATGGACAGTTAATTACTGTTACCGAGGTTTTTTTCTGATTCAACAAACACACGCACAACATTTGATGATAGACAGATGAACAAAAACTATTCACACGCAAACTCGAACTGTCGAATTTTTCTCGAGTTTAGTTTGACATAATTGTTTGTTTGAATTCGCTATCTATTTGGATTGAAATCGATATCCTGGTAATATTAAGGCCAACTCAGTGAATGTGATGAATTCTTATTATTATTATCATTTTATTACCAATGATGATGTTCATTCACATTGACAAAAATTTTGAGTCTATTCAGTTTCCTGTCCAGTTGTTGTAAAATCAATGATTTCATTGTTTCCAAATTAGATGAATGAAAATTGCAACATATTCATGCAACAGATTGAATTAATTCAATTTCCATAATATCAATGAATTTCGATTCGCCCATTGATTTCATATTTGATATACAGTGAAAAAAATGGTGAAATCATTAGATTCACCTA